AAGACGCTTCACATGTAATTATTCATTCACTCCATACACGGTGGTGGTAAACTACTACTAGCCACAGCTGCCCTGGGGCACACTGACAGAAGCGAGGCAACCAGTCTGTGTCATCGGCCCCTCCGACCACCACCAACCATTCACACACACACCAGACTCATTCTAGGCAATGGGGGTGAAGTGTCTTGCCTAAGAACACAATGGCAGTTTGGCACTTTACAGCCGCAGCCGCCCCACTGTGGCATCAGGTGTTCCCAGAGGTTAAATGTCTTGCTAAGGACACAACGACAGCAGAGATCAGTGGGAGTCGGTGGTGAAAGTCTTGAGGTGGGCTCGAACCCAACCCACAACCTTCTGGCTCAAAGGCCAACGCTCTACCCACTGAGCTACTGTCGCCACATGAAAAAGGGTCCATGAGCATGTTCACTGAAATGCTTGTTATCTGACTCTTGGCCGGTGGGGGTGTACCCGGAAACAGAATTATCCATTGAATTCTTACAAAGCTTTGTTTCCTCTCGAAAACAACGGAGGGGAGTATTTTGTTTTTGGAGCAGCCTAGTTTAGCCACTGTGGACTTTTGAATGCACTCGTTAAAAGAATGGGGCTTGTGCAGATAACGCCCACGGCCACTTTAAAAAGACTGTAGGAGGGAAACGTTTTGAAGCATACTAAGTTTCAACGGCGGAGATAGGCGTCACTACGTCTGTTATTATTTACAGTCTACGATTAATAATTAGCCTGCTTTTAAAAAATATATATATTTTAAATAGAATGGAAAGTCAGATTTACTATCCTATGAGCAAAGCATGTCAGACTCAGGTTGGCCGTGGATTTTCTATGGATTACTATGGAATGCTTTTTGTTTTCTCAGGGAACCATTTTTTTAGATTTATACTAAAATTCGGAGTCAATTCATTATTATTGCAATCCCCATGTTCGCACTATTCAATGCTATGATCTGTTGTTGGCAAATCGACAATCAATACATTTCGACTATGCCACAACATGCATTTAAACTCAGCATGTAATCATTGTCAATTATTTAGGGGATTTTTTTGTGCGTGGAATACATTGGTTGTTGATAAACCAGGTGTGTGCAGGAATTACAAGTTGTGTTATCCAAACAGGAGGCGGCTGATGCACTGCGCACTCCCACAGCCTCGGGCCCCGTGTTTCCACATCCACCACAATGGAAACTGTGCAGACTGCGGACAAATCGTACCATTTAAAACACATTATCATCTCCAACTACGTGTACAAACTGTGCCTTTAAAGAGCTTTCACTTAAAGCTGGGGGGCCGAACTCTTTTCCATCAAAAATTCATAATAACACACAGGAAGTCGAATTTGAAGGTACAATTTTGTAAACATGTTAAAGCACAATATTCCTTCTTTATCACGTGTTTTGTTTTTTGTACTTGTAAGAAAGAGCCCTGTGAGTTGTTATGTGACGCTTTGAGCTGAGAGCTGATTGGCCGAGGGAGATTTTTATTCTTAGAGATGTGACGCAGACCAAAAATAAAGTTCAAAATATACATACATATGACAGACTCATTGCATGCAAAATGAGATATTTGTTTATAGTATCGCACTAATGTACCTGAGGATTAAACAATTGTCATTCAGCCAACTTCAGCTCCATCAAATATGAACCATATCATACCTCATTTTTTAAAGCTAAGAATCGAGTCGAGTCCATTCATGTTGCTGGCACCAAAAGTGGCCCACTTACTAAAAAGTTTGGACACCTCTGGTCTATATTATGTATTGGATTCACATTTTAAGCTAAATCTGAAATGTATCTGCATTCTGCTAAATCTTTTAAGCCTGTTTTAACAGTGCTCCCTCATCAGTCACAGACCTGGATTTGTTTTTAGATCCATCTACGTAAATATCAGGAATTTCTGTACACAAACATGTAACCCCGCCCCTTCTGTCCAAAAGCTCCTGTTTCAGTCCTCTAGTGGTGTGATGTCATTGTACCACCATGACATCATACAACACAAAAGTAAAGCCGATAAATTATTTTGGGTAATTTCTCAGGTGTGAATGTGTTCTTTATAATCTCATCGGTGTATTTGCAGCTGGTATAATGTTCAAATTTAGGAAAAAAAAAACATTCAACTCCCTCTGGTGGTAGCTTAGGGAGTTACAGGCAGAAAGCTTTTTTTTACCTTCACACTTGTTTGCCATTATATTTCTCTAATTAAGATAATTTTTCACATTCTAAAACATGAAATGACAAAATAAAAGTTGCATTATAATTTTTGAAAGGCCACACTAGAATCTCAAACTACATGTACATAACTATATAACTCTTAAGGGGTTTGACTTAAGGCTGTCATGTGAGTCACACCCACACAAACGTCAATAAAAACAGCCATTTTCTAACTCTGTAATCCTCGCTCCGCATCTTATTCATCTGTTTACAAAGTGCGACTATTCAGAGCATCGGCCGTAGCTAAGAGCGTAATCCACTCCGTCAGTAGCGGATGGAATATTTCAGGTAGTGACATGAAGAAGCAGCAAACACACAGGCTGAGACCACTGCATTCCCAAACCATTAGCCAACGCTGGGTCAGGAATGCAGAGGCTCCGTGTGCTGAGAGGCTGGAGGCTGTGAGAGCGGATCTGGGACAGGGTTGGAAAAAGTACTGGATGGATGGGAGCTGAAATTGTGTGTTTATGTGATGGTAGCAAGACCCGAGATGAACCGTGGTGTTACCTGGGTTTGTGCTCCTCAAGCAAATGTTCTGGTTGTGACTTTTGCCCGATTCACATTTCTGTGCTGCCCCACGAACGGCTGCCTCATGTCAGTCTGATGCTTTTTTAAATGAATCAGGAGTCAATACCCAGTGAAGACTTGCAACTTAGTATGTGCTACCATTGCATGTCATGTTGAAGTAACTTATTTCTAAATTTGACAATAGGGTGATATCCCAAAAGCCCACCGAAGAAAATAAATGCCCAGCGCTGCCATCGATGGAAGAGCAGGCATGTCCAAACTCAGGCCCACGAGCCAATTGAGGACAGAGGACCACATAACATGACACAGAGGGCCTGTGTCATGTTCAAACAGTTCCATTATAGAAGTACATGCCAAATGCAGTCAAAACAAGTGAAGTACTGGTGTCACCCAAAGTGTTTGTCTTCTTGTTATAGCGGGAGAAGTTGATAATAGCTACCTCGAGCAGGTTCTATGGACAGATATATGGAGCCAAATCTGTGGATGGCAACACCCTAGCAACCAAAGAGCCAATCACTAGCTGATTGGTCAGTTGTTAGGGACATATCTGTATATTTGCGCCCAAAATGGTGAGTGTGAAAAATGCACTTTTCAATATAAGTCAATAGATCCAAAACTAGTTGGAGCAAAACTTCACCCCTGAGCACCTCCCTCCCAATTAGGCTTCACAAAGCTATAAAAAAGTTCTACAGTGACATAACACTCACTCATAAACCAGAATCTTTTTTACTAATTCAACAACATTTTGAACATTGTCTTACGCCTCTGTCAAATGCTATACTGTGTGATACGAGAAATGTTAACCCTTTGCTCACAAATCCCTAGACACTGAATAAATATTAATACAATTGAACAACAATGATAGAAAAATGTGTTTTCCCGCAGCCGTGATGTGAACTTGTGATAAATAAAAAGTCTTGTCAATTTTGTTTTGTTTTTTTTTAAATCCTGTTGCCATTGATTTTAGATGTCCCTTCACTATAACAGAGCTGGTCTGCAAGACATTTCACAGCACTTAATTCTAAACGCTTTCAACTCAGGACAATGTCGTCAAATCTGTTTACCATTTATGCTTTCTATATTGTACCATCAAAGAAACGGCTGCATAATAATCGTCAAACTTAAGTGGGCAGCTGCAGCATCAATGGTTTGCAATCTCAGATCTAAATGGCCGTCCTGAAATCGTATAATCCCAGAAAATAGGCCGACAGGGTTCATAAATCAATAGGGAAAAGAACGCATTCACACGAGCACAAGCTGGAGTCAGACTGTACAATGAACACAGCTGACCTCACATGTCAAACCTTGGTGCAATAATGTAGTGCACATTATTGCACAGAGGTTTGACATGTGAGAATGTGCAATAAGGGACCACATGTGTCCACTGTCACTTAACTTAGCTTTTAGCCTCATGCTGCTAACGTGTACAGTAGCATCACACCCTCATGCTAGGCCCGGGGCCAGATCCGGCCCTCGAATGAATTATCTTGGCCCCCGGGATGAAATTTGATTAGTATGAGAACCGGCCGCACGGAGCCATAAGAAAAACATTTGGAATGTTCATTAAATGTTCACGACATGTGTTTTCTCTTTGAAGGAAGTTTGTTTTTGTCTGTGAGCCTGTTGGAAAATGTTTTCACTTGAAATGACTGACAGAGCGGGCAGAAAATATTGGATTACTTTTTTATCATTAAATAAAATACAGCCCTCAGTGTTAGGTCTATATGCCTCATTTTAATATGTTTTAATAATCATTGAACCAGTCCGGCCCTCGGCTTGTAGCATATTGGTTTTTTTTGGCCTCTGATGTACAGTATTTGACTTTAACGTCCTTGTACTATTCAATGTGGGTGAAGTATCTTGCCGCAGGACACAAGAATAGCTTGGCACTTTACAGCAGGTGCCGCCTAGTGTGCCGAGAGGTCTCTCATCACAGTATTAATCATACCCTGTCCTGCTTAACCTCAGAGGTCTGACAGGATCTGGTTTTCACATGCAGGTGGCGCCTATATCTCCACTCCTATGAATGTGTGCTTCTCATTCTTACTGCACTACAACCTCTGATACAACAATGAAAATAATAATAATAATAATAATAATAATAATATTAAACTGGGACTAAACCTGGACTTGAATAATTTTGGATTTTGGTTAAAAGTAAGCAGAAGAGAGAGTGTTTAAGTGTAATTATCTCAACCTGAAGTGTGCAACATCAGCCACTCCCCCATCTTTAATTGCACACTTTGGCATCATTTCACAAAGACGGCCCCTCCCACAGAACCAGCCTCATTACCAGATTACCCCTCCACACCAAACCAAACAGTGCGGTCATGTCTGTCTGTGGCAAACCCGTACCTGGAGTAGAAGAGCGTTTTCTGCGACGGTTCTCTCTCAGCGCCGCTCGTTTCCCGGTGAACACGGCGTCGATTCTCTCTGCCCAGACCTGGTGACTGCCCTCATCCGAAACCCCACAGCGAGGCTCGGCCATCCGCCTCAAGGTGGCGCTGTCAAGTCTGCCAGTGACGGGAAGGCGAGACAGCCACTGGAACTCCCTGCGAGCAACAAACAACCATTCCTCTCATACCAATGTTATTATAGGAAACTCTGCTCTACAAACTTGTGTGCGACAAGATGAAACACACTTTTTAAGATTTAGCTCACTGTATAGGACACGATTGGTATCAAAACTATATAAAAAGAAGAAAAAAGGATAAGTTCTTTATCTAAAAACGGTCCTATACAATCTCCCAACTTGTACTCATACTTTTAACTACTTCTTAAAGCTGGAGCACATAACTGTCAAATAGTTTCTCACTGCTATCACCAGTTCAGGATCACATGCATGGATTTTTTTGGCCTCTTTAGATCTGCGTTTTCAGACATAGAAGCTTGACTCATTGACTGCCAGCCATTTTTGATGATTTCACTGAATCTCAAGACCCACAGAACATTATTGTGAAATGGGAAACCAGATTCTGAAAGGCTGGATTGTCTACTTTGATCAGCAAAAATACGTTTGTTTCCAGCTATTTTCATTGTCCTGTAATCTCCAGTCGAATAGAGGGTCTCAGACAAATACATCAATGGCAGTCAATGAGTTAAAAGGAGCATTCTTAGCCACGGACAGCTCCCAAACAAACCAAACGTTAGCCTTAAATGATCATTCAGCCTGAGGTCTGGTTTTGTAAGACTGCAAGACTGTAGCTTTTAAATCATATTTTGCAGGTTCAATTGGGGTCTGGAGGTGACGGCCTTTCTGACTCCACGGGTTAAACACTTCTTACGCAACAAGACACAAGCAGTAGTTACGACACTTACCGAAGAGCCGTCTGCATCTCCACGGCATTATGGATGTGCTCGTCTTCGTGGAGGTAGCCATACTTTTCCAGAAAAACCTGAAACATTGAGCATATGTTAAAGCTGGGGTACCTAACTTTTTAATCTCATCAATAATTAATGTGGTTTGTCCCAACAGAAAGAGACTTGTTCAAAGTCAGACCAAATCATGCTGTCTTCATCCTATGGAAAACATTCTATCATTTTTGTTTACATGCTGAGAGCTGATTGGCCGAGTGCAGATAAACCTCTATTTTTCACTGAAGCTGATCTAAAGATAAGGCCAAAAATAATATTAAATAATCATGTTGTAAATTGCGCTTTTTGGACACTCTCAAGTCATTATTCATTCCCTCAATAAGATAAGATAAACTTTATTGATCTCAAAATGAAGAAATGCACATGTCATATTTGGCATTGATAGGAAGTGTGCAAACTTGTTCAAAATTTGTCTCTTTTGTGCAGGATATTTATGTACAATAAGGAAGTAAAAGTGACTATAGCAGTGAGAGTTCGTGCAGGTCATTAAAGTAGATAGAGAGATACTTTATTGATCCCTAAAGGAGAAATTCAGGTGTCCAGTAGCAGCAAAAATAATAATAATAATAATTTGCATCATTCTGAAAAGCCAGCAATAGTAATAATAAACAAGTGTCCTTCAGGTCGATGCAGCAGAGGTGGAGCAGACTCTGGGTGGAGCAGGACGGGTCACAGCAGCAGAGGTGGAGCAGTCTCTGGGTGGAGCAGGACGGGTCACAGCAGCAGAGGTGGCGCAGTCTCTGGGTGGAGCAGGACGGGTCACAGCAGCATAGGTGGAGCAGTCTCTGGGTGGAGCAGGACGGGTCACAGCAGCAGAGGTGGAGCAGTCTCTGGGTGGGGCAGGACGGGTCACAGCAGCAGAGGTGGAGCAGTCTCTGGGTGGAGCAGGACGGGTCACAGCAGCAGAGGTGGAGCAGGACGGGGCACAGCAGCAGAGGTGGAGCAGTCTCTGGGTGGAGCAGGACGGGTCACAGCAGCAGAGGTGGAGCAGTCTCTGGGGTGGAGCAGGACGGATCACAGCAGCAGAGGTGGAGCAGTCTCTGGGTGGAGCAGGACGGGTCACAGCAGCAGAGGTGGTTCTAAACAACTACAGTGGCCACAGCTGTCCTGGGGCAGACATCGACGTCAATCCAACCACCACCAACCATTCATGCACAAACCAGACTCATTCGATCTTCCCTCAGGACTCTGTTGCACCTGGTGTTCCCAGAGGTCTCCCATCACAGTACTAACTAGGCCCTGTCCTGCTTAGCTTAATGCTTAACAGCTTTCACATGTAGGTGTGAAAACTAGTGATTTTAATGAGAGCGATCTACTAGTTATATGGATTGTATACGTTATTTTTGTGTGTTTTTTGAAACTTACTCCAGCTTGAATGCATATTAGTATTTACAAAACAGTTTTAACAGTATTTCTACATTTCTGACCTGATTTAACAGTCGGCAGTGAACTCCAGATTGATTATCTGTTTAAACCGTGTTACTTTTATGACATGCGCCCACCAGCATTTTATAGTGAGTAAAAAAAAGACCACCTGAAAGCATTCCTCTCCAGAGAAAGATATGATATGTAATTATCTATTTGTAGCATGTGCATTTGTACAACTATGTGAGACCACACATAACACAGCAAGTTTGGGAAGTCCCTAATCTGCACATGGTTAGTAAGAATCGTATTAAAGCAATAAAATGTAATCACAAGTTATGTACATTTAAGATTGGTTTCAGGGACAGCAGACAATTACGACAGATACACGCAAATGTGAAAGAGTTTAACCATTGGTATTATATGAGACAACTCCAGGTTTCAACGGTCATTAAAAAAAAAAAAACATTTCTACAGGTACACCAGTTATTTTTATTGTTTTGTCAGTCAACGGATTCAATAGATCAAGCCAAAAAAGAGATACCACATGTATTTTATTTTATCTTATTCATATTTTACAGGTCTCTAGTCTCATTTGCAGTGACATTGGCTTAAGGGGAAATGTTAAAATCCCTAAATTGCTCTTTCTGCAGTGAAATTCAATCTCCAGACACGAGATGTACCCTCCTTTATTCTTACCTTAAAACAGTGAGTATTCCCACTTATAACTAGAGTAAATGAGACATCAGAGGTCAAAACTACAGAGCCCAAAGAGTCCAGAAATGTGTTTGTTCTAACCCTAACGCTAAAGGGTTCTCAGACAGATGCAGGTTGAATGTTTCCCAAATTTGAGAGAATAAACGTCAGTGCAGTGAGGAATTTTAAGAGGAGAGAGGAAATTATGGGCGTTGAACTGTATCTTTATTATTGCAGGGACCCTGAGTGTTCTGCTGCCGTATAACAGTGGTGGACTGTACACTTTAGTGTTATAGCCAATAAAATCTAAAGCTGTGACAGAGGTCAAAACTACCTGTCTGTGTAAACAAGTGAAGAACTAGGCTGTTGTGAGAGCGACGCTCGTTAAATGGATTTTATTACAAACATTTTTGTGATTTGATAATTAAGTAACCCAGCTTTACCGCCACACATTTCTACATGGAAACAGAAATAGGAAACGTATGAATGCTAAAATATGAGCAGTGTGTGTAAAGCCTCGTTCACCTCAGGGTCCAGCGGTGAAGCCCACAGTGTTCTGGAGGTCAGAGCCAGCAGCAGCAGCAGCAGCGGGAGCAGCGGCCGGACACACGCCGCTCCGGGCCCCACAGCCGCAGCTCTCATGACGGGACACTGGTGCTCCTCCAGCCACAGCACAACAGCGCATACTTCTCCAGTTTGTTTAGGCGCCGTCAGAGCACATGCTGCGGCTCGTCTGACAGCTCCATCCACACACGCACCGGAGCAGACTGTTTACAGGAGGCGGTCCGCCCCGCCCCGCCCCCCGCGGAGCAGACGCTCCTCACGAGAGGCACAGGCACGAGTACTTACAAGTACAAGAACAAGCTCTTCTATAGGCAACCTTTAACATGTTAAATAATTGGCGGACAAGATCACTATTCGAGAACTTTAAAGTGTTAAAAACTAAATATATATTTTAGCTGGGACTAACCCATTGACTGTCCACATTTGCCACTGGAAATGTCATTTTTTAACATAAGGACGACAGAGTACACTTGTGTTTACATACAACTTTATACGTTCTCGTCTTGTAAACAGTGATGCCAGGAAATAGAATCCTAGGTAAACGGTTACTTGCCACATCTCTAAACAAAGCTATAATAAATATCTGGACTACCTCCAAACATAAAGAGATTGCACTACCACCAAAAACAAAGTCTGGCTCTTAAGCCTAAATCGACTTCTATACTACAGGTATGAGGATTTTCTACTTCCAGGTGGATCAAGACTTGGAGCTCCCAATTGTCACTCATTCTGGTTATACATGCTCTTCAAATAAGACCAGTATTGTTCAAAAGATGAAGAGGGCGGCTAAAATAATCCCAACAGCTGACACCTAATCTGAATCAATGAATCTTTAAATAGCATGATATATTTTGTATTTACCACTCTCCCCACTGCGAAAGCTGCACACACACATCTGTTTAGTTCAGATGAAGACGTTTAATGAGTTCAAGAATCAATAGCAAACGATGAGAAAAGATCACAGTTTAATATAATTTTTTGAAAAACCCAAAAAGAAACTGAATACATAAAACAATCTTTCATACAAAACAATGCAACAGGTCTAATCACACAACTGCACGGAGGATCTGCAAAATTAAAAGATGTACAATGACGTAAAACAGAAAAAGAGTTGACGTTGGCCGTGAGCCCCTTCGCAGTAGTCCGTCGCAACGTCCACTCCAGGTTACGACGTTGAGATGGACTGGCTGCGACCGACGGTACAGGACAGTATTCGAGGTTTCCTTCTGACAAAAACAAAAATCAAAGAGCTAAAATGGCATCAGTCGTCTGGACGCGCTCAGTATGGCCGCTCTCGTCTGTCGTCTCTGCGGTCACCTCTGAAATGGAACAATGAATGTCAGTTGCCGGGTGTTCGAGGGCACCTTAAGCATTACACTGAAAGCGATTGACAAAAAGGCACTAGGGGCAAAGATATTTATTTTCCATCACAGCCTTGTCTAGTCCCCCGAGAAAAGAGTAAATGGCAGCGATAAAATGCTAATCGCGTGTCTTTGGCCAGACAACACGCTTCACCCGTTATCTTAGTATTCAGGCAGAGACTGTGGCGCTCAAATCCAGGTCAAAAACTGTTTTGTCGAGACGTGCATACAACTGAAGGATTGCATCTTCACTCTTCTTAATGTACTGGGATTATTTGGTATTTTAATGCCTTGCGTATCAACTGTGCTATACATAAAAACTTGCCTTCTACAGGGCTGAAGCGGCGTGCTCAAGGTGAGACTAACACTGAGACACACTTGCGCTAAATGTCGCCATCTACTGGTCAAAACATCAATAAAAAATAAAAAGCACATTGGTACAAACCTTCCACCCATTTTATAACCGCCTCCAAATCCACCACCTCCGCCGCGGTCGCCTCCCCTTTCATAGCCGCCGCGGTCGCCACGGTAGCCACCTCCACGTCCCCGGAAGCCGCCGCCCCGGTCCCCGCCGAAGCGTCCTGCGCAAAAGGAGCCGCTGTAAACCTCGGCACAATGTGAACGGAAAGGTTACAAGGGACCGATACTCACCTCCGCCGCCACCGCCGCCGCCGCCATCTGGCTTAGGGGCACCACACTTATTGCATTCGTGTCGGCGGGCAAAGTTCATGTTTCCGCAGGAACTGAAAGGAAGGAGTCAATTTAACAAGTCCATCTAACTGGGATGTACAACAATGTGAAGAGATCCTTTTGTTGTGATGAAACACTGACATTTATTCCCACAGCGGGGAAATGTCAGTGTTGCATCACAAGAAACAACAGTTGGAATGAGCAGCACAAAGACGAGATAAGTGAATATTTAAGTATAGCACAACTCTATACTTAAAACATAATATTCAATCTTTAGATTAAGTAACAATGTCTTCATGTATACACTAGTACAAGAAATCTATACATTTCTAGATCATCTGTAATACTTAAGTACTTCCACGGTTAAAATATTCAGTGATGACTACTGTACATGTTGGCAAGAGGCTCTGGGCTAAAAGTAACCAAGTGACAGTGATACATGTGGTTCCATATTGCACATTGAGAGGTCAGGTCAGGCGTCTTCGTTGTACAATCTGAGTAATTACTACGAACAAAGCCATCTACATGAAGTCTGCTTAAGAATGACTTGTACCTGTTGGGACACGGCCAGTCTCCTCCTTTGATATCAAAATTTGGTCCACCACCGCCGCCGCCGCCGCCGCCACCACCACCACCGCCGCGCCCTCGGAAGCCTAGCCATAAACTCACGTTAGTACAAATTCATTTCAGACGTTTGTCGAGTTGGTTTTACCTCCACGTCCACCTCTGCCACCGGCGGCGCCACCACGCTGGGTAAACTCCGCCCTCCGGGTCGCGAACGATACTTTAAGTTGCTTACCGTTGAACTCTTTCCCTGTAACAAATAATAACAGTCAATACCATGAATACCCAGTGACGAGCTCAGTGCACTTACCGTCAAACCAGTCGATAGCAGCTTTGGCAGAAGGAGGATCATCGAACGATACCGTCGCTTCTCCCTTTTTCTGACCGGTGAGCTTATCGCTGTAAATGTTTATCATAAGCGTTCCAGTTCTTTTGTTCACCTGAAACATTGCAATAGTATAAGATGCCAGCTCCATTGGAAGAGAATTGCTAAATGAAGCCTAGAGTCCACACCTTGATGATCCCGATTTGTTTGAAATAGTCAGCAATTTGTTCAATCGTTACATCGTCTGTAAGGCCTTGCACAAAGATGGTGTTGTTGTCAGAGTTATCCTGTTCACCGGCTGAGAACGCACAACAATTAGGACCAACTTGAAGAGAAATCAAAAGGTTAAATTACAAAATGCAAGCTTACCTGGTTCATCCCTGGAGCCATAGTCTCGTGATCCTGAGAACAGATGATAGGAAGAACATTTTAAGAAGCAGTCTTTGTATCAATCATTGTAATATTAAAACATTTCCTATTGATTTTCCATAATCCCTGATATAAGATACCAATACATATTAAGCTATGTCATCTTTATGTGTGTTTTCATACCAATGCAAGAGATACCACATGTTTTTGAGCCTTTACCAGGATGTCGTCCACCAAAAGGTTTCAACATTAGACTTTTACCTTCCTGGAACTTCGTGGTCATTACCTTTTACCCTGGTCTCCATGCAATACCAATATTTGTGTCAGTTCCTTCTAATACCATTTCACAAGGCTATGAATTATTTATTGAGTCCTTTTGGATGAAGGCATAAAATTGAGATTTTTAAACCCTCCTATAGTCTAGCTGAACTCGACTTCCCCACCGACACAGTTCTGATGCTTATCACTTACCACCGAAATTTTTGTAGCCACCACGGTCACCACCTCTGCAGAGGAAAAATTGGAGATATTTGATGGCTTTTCCTTAGTCCCAAATGAGAGCACATTGCTCCCCTACATCCCCACCAGTATGCACTTCTGCCAGTGTGCAACTATAGTGGAAATGTCTCGAGGAATCATTAGTCTTTCACAATACAGATAAATGTACAGCCAGGTAGAGTCAGCTCTGTCTGAAAACTCAGGCAGACGATCACGTCAGTGGGTTAACGTTTACAGTGTTTGAGTCCAAATTAGATGCCAGTCCATTACATTTTATAGATGCCAATTTCAAAATAAGTCATCTTCCACTGAGAGCATTTGAGATCCTTTAACTCAAGTCCAAGTTAAAGTTCAAGCACTCTGAATACCTGTGTTGTAGAATGTACATCTATGTTAAACACATCACACACGTTTGTCACCTTCAACAGCATTTGAATGGAATCTAGTACGCCACTGAATGTGAGCTTTTCTCATTTATTTTTTTGTGGTAGGGAAAGAAAAAAAAAGTCTGTGGCTAAACACTATAGTGGCAACAATATGCACTGAACAAGCCCTATGATAATAAAATAAATTTACAATAAAATGAGCAAAGTCACTACATGGGTTTGTTTGTGTCAGTCATATTCAATCTTTTTGGGCATAACAGACCAAATGATAGTCACACATTGGTAGATGCTGTAAAAATAAAGAGTTAAAAATACAACTTAAAAATTGTTTAGAATGGTCAGCTTTGATGTGAGGGGAATCTGGTGAATGTGCAGCAAGAGTCTCAGGTATTGATACGGTGAGATGATATGTTGCAGGTGTGATTTAACAAAATACCTTAGGGGCAGTGGCGCTCTGCAACTTACCCCATACCAGGAGGTCCACCTCTTCCACCCCTGTCGAATCCTCCACCACCGCCGCGGTCATAGCCCCCACTGCGATCATAGCCAGCTCCGCGGTCATAGCCACCACGACCTCTGCCTCGGAAACCGCCTGCATCTGAGCGATCGCCAAATCTCCCACCACTGTCATCACCGGCTAAAGGCCATAGGGGCATTTAGACTTCAACTTATTTTTTAAAATGGTTGACATAAGAACATTTTGTACCGTCACTCCATCGGCTTCCGCTGCTGCTTCCACCACCTTGGCTTGCGTAAGGGTCTCCTCCTTGACTCTGACTTCCATAGGAGCTCGGCTGGCCATAAGTAGCAGTCGGTGGAGGCTGACCATATGAAGCTGCAGCTTGGCCATAGGAAGAAGACTTGTCTCCATACCTAATCACAAAAACAACCCATCAAGCTTAGTTTTGGCCCAAATAGAAATTGCATATTTTTCTTAAAACAAGTCTTACGTAGATGTGCCCTGTCCATAACCTTCATAGGCGGTCGGCGGTTGACCATAGGCACTCTGACTTACACTAGATTGACTGTAATTTTCTGGAAGAAACAGGGAAAAAAAAAATATTGAGTATACAAAAAAGGTATTTTGACAGTTATATACAATCCCAAAATATTACCTTGAGTTGCAGCGGGCTGACCATAGCCACTGTATGCCTGCGCTCCATAAGTGCCAGTGCCATTTCCTTGCCCATACGCCTAGAAACAAAAGCATTTTAGCATGCAAGTCATATGGCATGATTTCTATACATAAAAGGAAATGCGTTCTTTACCTGGCCACCTGCAGGCTGTGCCCCATACGCTCCATAGCTGTAATTAGAAATAAGTTGTATAAGATAATAGTCCAACAAAGTACAATATTAGTTATAAATTAAAATGAATGAGCAGGTAAAAAAGTAACCTTGGAGGCCCGCCGGGCTGCCCGTACCCCGAATCTGCAAAAACAGAAAGCGTACTAAATAAAGCAAGCATTTGCGGCGTGAGGGAAATGTCATTGTTAAAGAAACGGGCCTTGTGCCATGCTGAAAATGGCGCTTATTTTTTTTGCCTGCGGCAACTTGTCTTGCGGGTTACTCCGGGATACGATACAAATAATAACTACAATGTAATGCTTTTCTTTTATAAAAACAAGACCAGATGAAACGCAGATCTCTGCTATATCAGAATAAACGATCCTCTGGTCTTGGCTTGCACGGCGTAGGGATAAACAAAGAGGCCGCTCCTAAGAATACGCCGAGACATTCGCAGTACGATTGTAATTTCACGGAACAGAACTAATTCATTCGTCATAAAACACTAATGCGTTGGTAACAACAAAAGCACGCTAGATTCGTCAACCATCATTTTCCATAAAAAAAAATAGTGCTAACCGTCGCCCATTCATCTGGCCTCGCGGTTAGCAGTGACTTTAGCTACAATGCTAATGCTAATGACCCACTTTACAACCTGAAAGAAAACACACAAATAAAGCAAGGGGATAGGCTTACCCGTTGACATGTTTCACAACGTTTTAAATCTTTAAAAATAACGGATGGGTCCTTTGATTAGTCGAATAAAAACCCAAAAGACATAAACGCAGCCGCACACCCACAGGCCGCGTCCACAACAGCGCTGCTCAGTCCGTGGAGCAACTTCCGCACTGCGTGTTCTACGCTTGTTAAAGCCTCGTGTGGAGGCCACAGCGCCACCTGCCGTTAGCAAACTGTTATTGTCCTGAAGCAGCAAGGCCCTGGCATGGATCTATTGGGGCCCTGGACGTCTATGGACGTGACGCAAGTAATATCTTTACAGTCAATGGACGCAAGCCTACAAAGTTACGTCACAGTGAGCAGGAACAACCTAATTAACATTAATGCTAAGGAAAAAAAAACATTAATGCTAAGGTTTACCAGGGGACATTACACATATCCTAAGCTAGCAGATCGTTTACTTTATTCTAATTCAGTAGGCATATAAATAAACAAAAACGGTTATTAAGTAAAAGCAAGAATGTTAGCATGCCCCTTAAGTACATAACTTTCTTACTCTGGTAGAAGGCAAAAAACTGGACACATTTTGTTCAGAAAAAATACCAGAAAGGAATACCTGCAATATAACAGTGATATTTAGGTCAAAACATCTCCATGCTATATAATGTTATAATATATAACCACAGATGCAAAAGATTTTCTTTCAACCACATGTTTTTAATGGTGGAACCATTATTTCCATGGACTCTACTTGAGTACGAAGGCAATGTTTCTGCTCTGGAGAGCTACAGTGAGGCAGGTAGGCAGACACAAAATACTGATAAAGGCAACAAATTGGGACAAAAACTATAAAAGAAAATCTAGTTCAGTTTTTAAACCCAAGCAAAGTCATCCCCGTGTAAAGCATGATTGATTGACTTATTGAGAAGTAGATGCAATAAAAACAATCAAAATAAAATTGACGCTTTGATTTATTACATTTATAATACATAAGGCAGTTAAACAAGGCACACTCTTCATTAGGTCAGCTAATACAAAATAAAAGAGCAGTTTTATACAATTTAAAAACCTGGGTAGTTTTGAAATATCAGGCATGTTAGCTTTGAAATATAATTTGCATCATCACTGCCTAATTAGACAATTTTACAGATTTTAAAGATACATTTTTTCTCAAAAATAATAGTCAAGATGCGATTATATAATATAGATATATATGTATATTATATATAATATATATTACACACTAAAACAGTTGGGGAACAAATTGAGACCAAAGAGAGACCAACGGGTTGTAAAACAATCAAACACTTTTTATCACATTGTTTCAGGAGAGGCAAATTTTCCTTTTGCATCGAATCTTGTGCCTTTAAAAAGGCTATTCTTTCAACAGTAAAACACATATGCATGAAAGGCCAAACAAAACATCCATTTACACATGCAAGCTCTTTGCACCCAATATGACGACTGTGAATCCAAAGACATGGAAACACCATGAAAAGGCCTCCTAGGAAGAAATAGCCACAGACCAGTGAAAGATTCAGAACATACCATGTTGCAATAATGCTTTTATGATCTGATAGGAAGGATGTTTATGACATACTGTGTAATAACCTACATGGCTATATGGCATTACTAAAATGAAAAAATATCATAATTTCATTAAAATACTATAAATGCATATATTAAAACCATTAAATTCTCCAGTAGAGATCTTGAGTGGATAAATGTTCTTAGGAAACAGCTATAACACACAGGCTAAAGAAGTAAGATGCAGTATCCGCTGTACAACATGAGGCATATATGTTATGTTTGTCTAAACCTGACCGAACCAGGCTAAAACTGGATGTACAGGAAAATAACAGTGGCATGATGGCTGGATGGAGCTGGACTGAGCCCTTTAGCTCCAAACATCTTGTGAATAGCGTCCCTTTGTCATCAATTTCTTAATGTAATCGGTGGCCTGCGTGCGAGTCATGCCTCCAAATTCTTCTGCAATCTCATGGAAGGCCGTCTGCACGTCTCTAGCCATGTTTCTTGCATCACTGAAAGACAAAATATGTATTAAAATAACAGTAGGATACCAATTTTTGCGCACACACAAACACACACACGTAATTATATCCAGGAAAGTAAAAAGTATGAGTCCCACACAGCACTATGACGCCGGCATGTCTGAGGCATGTTATTCAGAGTTTCCACGATGGATCAACAAGTTGGACACAGAGCTGGTCTGAGGTCAGTGAAATTACTGGGATTGTTTTTGCTTACATTTTCTTTGCTTGCATTGTGTGCAGACATTTTTTTATATTTATGATTCATCATAGAGGGCGAGTTAAAATATAATATAAAGATTTATAGAACCGATAGACATTTACCCGCAGACATAGATGTGAGCGTTGTCTGTATGAACCATCTTCCAAAGGTTCTCTTTATTCTTCTTAATGAGGTGTTGAACATAGACCTTTCAAATGAACCAAGAAGAAAGTAAAATGTTATTTTTAAACAGCTGAACAGTTTGGAAGGCTTTATTTTCTCACCTTCTGCTCCTGATCTCTGGAAAAGGCGACATGCAGCTGTGTCAGGACCCCGCTTTGAGCAGCTTCCTCCAGCTCTTCCTGATAGAGGTAATCTTCCTCTCTGTGTCTGCAGCCAAAATACATGACCGTCTCACCAACTTCTTTTCCTAAAAAATAAAAGAATATACTTTGCTATGGAAATAGTTTGTACAACTGGATATGAAGGGCATGGATTGTGCCCTGACGCATGTGAGAGGCGTCCAGTGATGACGGGCCTGGTCATGAACTAAAACCCTCTCACACTGGCATCAGGTTATTGAATACAAACAAACCTTGCTTCTTGAGCCAGCCTCTTTCCTGGATGAAACCCATGAATGGAGCAATCCCTGTGCCAGGTCCAACCATGATGACTGGGTTTGTAGGCTTAAATGGTAGACGGAACTGTGACTTGCGGATGTACATGGGGACAGTAGACTTGTGACCGTTGTCTGAGACCAGCTTGTTCTTCAGCCAGTTTGTGGCAACACCTTTGTTGGTGCGTCCAGTCGGTGTGTTGTACTCTACCACCACAGCACAGATGTGAATGTGGTTGGGGTGAACCTACAAAGTACAATGATTTTCAGCATTAACCAGCAAAAGACTAAATGTGCCGTTACATAGTATTAAAGCCTTACCTTGGAAGAGGAGGCGATGGAGTAGTAACGAGCTTGGAGACGAGGTAACAGCTCACACAGGTGGTCAATGGGCGGCCGTAAAGATGGCATATCTTCCAGAATGGCCAAAATATTTCTACATGCATCCAGAACCCAACTCTGATACAGAGCCTGTCGAGACCGATAGAGTGTGATATGAGAAAGAGTAGATAAAACTATATTTATATACATACACGTTTAAGGTTTTACTCACTTTGCCTTCAGGAGAGGACGACGCCATCTTGCGCATGTTTTCTTGGTCTTTTGGATCAGAAGCATACTGTGCCAACTCATAAAGAACATTGGTGCGAGGGGAGTTTGTGATGTCCAGATAGTGAGTAAGGGCAGTGCGGTAGGTAGTGGGGCAAGGGAACGGATGTTTCTTGTTAGATTCCTCTGAAAAACACAAAGGTGAACACTCTTGGTGAGAATAGGAGCCTTAAGTTAGTATCCATCATGTTGTGTGCGAGAATTTCGTTGCCATTAGCCTTTAACATGATCACAAAAACATTTGAAATCTCAGGATTTAGAACTTTAAGTAATGCCTAAAAGGATTTGTGTAGAAAACAGGCAACACTCTAAAGTTGGACTTTTGTTGCACATAATTATTGTCACTTTATTGTACATATATCCTGCATGTAACATGTTTGCACATTTCCTCCTTTTGCACAATTTGAGTGTCTCTATCCATGCCAAATGTGACATGTAAATTTCTCCTCTGTGAGATAAATAAAGCACATCTTATCTTAGAAATATGTTATTTTTCAGAAGTGTGTGCCCGCTGTGTCCCATAACTATTTTTGTCTTAAGGCCTTGAAAACTGCCTGAAAATATGGCAGAAAATCAGAAAAAATACAGAAAATCTTGCTAACAGGACTAATGCAACATGAGTAGCATAAAAGTATAAAGCTGTTAAAACCTGAATACAATAAAAAAAGATTTTCCAAGAGTGTTTGATGCGGTCCCTGACTCCTCTCATGCTTTCAATGACTCACCATCAAGGTTGTTGAGAGAGATAACAACATCAAGGTCGACTCCAAGGACCTGCCCAAGTTTGTTTACTAATGTGGGGTCATTGATGGGGAAAACCGCAACATGGTCTCCGGACTCGTATCTACAAAGAGACAATGTGACAACACACACCTTTACCATCTGATTTTACAACACACACTCACTCACACACTCTCACACACACACTCTCACACACACACTCTCACACACACACACTCTCACACACACACACTCTCACACACACACACTCTCACACACACACACTCTCACACACACACACTCTCACACACACACCCTCTCACACACACTCTCACACACACACTCTCACACACACTCTCACACACACTCTCACACACACTCTCACACACACTCTCACACACACTCTCACACACACCTCACACACACTCTCACACACACTCTCACACACACTCTCACACACACTCTCACACACACACTCTCACACACACTCTCACACACACTCTCACACACACTCTCACACACACACTCACACACACACTCACACACACACACACACACACTCTCACACACACTCTCACACACACTCTCACACACACTCTCACACACACTCTCACACACACTCTCACACCCACTCTCACACCCACTCTCACACACACACTCACACACACACTCACACACACACTCACACACACACTCTCACACACTCTCACACACTCTCACACACACACTCAAACACACTCTCACACACACTCTCACACACACTCTCACACACACTCTCACACACACTCTCACACACACTCTCACACACACTCTCACCTGATCTTGGAGCCGCTTATGTCCAGCTCCAGGTGCATCAAATGTCTTTCTCCGCCTTTGTTAAGTTTGCGATTGACAGTGACCGGTGCGAGGAAGGGATTTTTGGAATCAAAAGGTCTGGTAATAAGAACAAATAAACCTGTTTAGTGTTTACACAAACAAGAACTATTGATTGTCTAGATTATGGCACTTACGGTTTCTGATTATCAAAACTCTTTAAACGTCCAATTTCCCCAGAGTACACCTTGTTCATGTTGAGGTCTGTGTGTTCCTTCAGTTCATACTGTCGAATGCTGTTGGAGAAAATACAATGTTATCATATCTACATTACAAACTGTACTTAATGGTGATAAATACTGCAGCTTGGCAATAAGACCAATAAAAGACATGAATAGAAATAGTCACACACACCTAGCGTCGTCTCCTGAGGCTTCTACGCCAAAGTGCTCACACACAGCGGGCCAAAACCGTTCTCTCCATGAGACGAAATCTTCCTCCAGGCTAGAAGACGACAAGAACATTAACATACAGTCTGGATGCAATATCAATAAATGTTTAATAATGTTTTTAGTAAAGATCCAAACTCACTTTCCATCGTCGTCGCCCATACCGAGGTCAAAGATACGAGTGGCCTTCAACTCTTCAAGTCTTTTGTCAACATATTTCCCCATTGCATTATAGTGTTCATACGTCTTATTACCCAGGGCAAATACCTAGAGTAATAAAAAAGAAAAACAGATGTATTCTAGAAGATATATGAAGAGGATATATGTATACAAAGTCCAAGGTTGAGGACAAAGTTTCAGTCACTTTCTTTACTGGAACGAGGTCAGGGCCACGGCACACTAACAAAAGAACCACAAAAGACTACCCAGGACTGCAAACACTTCCTTTCATGTGCAATTACTACACAGACTCATAGGTCAGGAAACACAGGGACATGCAACAACTAACAACCACAGGGAGAAAGGAGGTCCCACTTTGAACAAATATTTATTCTGTAAATACATAGTATTCTGTATTCTGTCATACATGCCGAGTGACTCAAGGATATTGTTTTGCATATTTCAGATCATGTGTATCCTCAAACAGCCAATAAAAAGTAATAATAATAATAATAAAAAATCGGTTTTATATAGCGCTTTTTTGGACACTTAAAGACGCTTCACATGTGTCATTATTCATTCACTCCATAAACGGTGGTGATAAACTACTACTGTAGCCACAGCTGCCCTGGGGCACACTGACAGAAGCGAGGCAACCAGTCTGTGCCATCGGCCCCTCCGACCACCACCAACCATTCACACACACACCAGACTCATTCTAGGCAATGGGGGTGAAGTGTCTTGCCTAAGGACACAACGGCAGTTTGGCACTTTACAGCCGCAGCCGCACCACTGTGGCATCTGCTGTTCCCAGAGGTTAAGTGTCTTGCCAAGGACACAACAACAGTAGTCAGTGGGAGTCGATGGTGAAAGTCTTGAGCGGGACTTGAACCCACGACCTTCTGGCTCAAAGGCCAACGCTCTACCAACTTAGCTACTGCCGCCCTAAAGTACTGAGTACTGAGTGTGAGCGGAAAGTACTTCTTTCCCCTCACACACCACAGGAAAGTAGAGTTCTTGGAGTGAATAACATAAACCAATCAAAACTCACCGTGTAGTTGAGGCCAGTCATGTCCTCGTCATCACTTTCCTGGAGCCAGTCATAAAAATCCTGGGCATTGTCGGTGGGGTCTCCTTCTCCATAAGTGGCCATGCAGAAAATTGCCAGAGAGTTGGGGATCTCAGACAGCCGAGACAGTTCACCCTACGATATAAAACACTGATCAGATTACCGTCTTTAAAGCTTTAATGAAACCTGACATTCACCAGAGCATTCAGAGCTCCGTAAAAGCAGGAAGTCTTTTGGCTTCAAAACGTGCATTTTACTGAAACCAGTTACCATGCTGTATTCCTCTGGATCAGCTGCCATTCCTTTCATGCCGTAGCGCTGAGCATCTTTGGACAGCCTGTTGGCAAATTCCTCTGCCGTTCCCGTCTGGGAGCCATAGAACACGATGATGTTCTTGTTCTGGGGAAAACAAACAGGAAAAGCATAATGCAGAGAAGGGAAAACTGCATCACGTCCTGAGCTTCAAAAACAAGAAGCAAAAGGTCACGGACGAATCAAGGATTTTCATAGAATATAGTATATATATATATTTATATAAGTCAAATAAAAAACACATACATAAAATAGATAAGTATACATATATGTTAGAAGTTGAAATAGATTTTTTTATATTATAGGGCTGTGAAGATTTGTTTGGAGATATAATCTATTGGGACGTTCTCCAGTGGCTTCATTAATAAGAAAACATCGATGATTATCTAACTGTGTGTCAGTTACATCCCAAGTATTTCCCAATTTAGGGCTGAACGATTTTCTTATTTGCTGCAATTGATCAAACGTCGTCAAGAATCAACTATTAGATTAATCGTCATCTTCTCAACAGACAAGCTTGGAAACATGAAAATGCTACAACATCCCTGCAATATTGTTTCGTTTCAATTCTAGATCCGATCTCACATTAGCACTAAAACCACATAGAGAGAATCTTTACTAGATTAAGCTAATTAAAATTGCAAAGTGTTCAATTATATGAAATCATTCCTTAAGGAGACATAACCACAAAAAATAAATCTCTTTTGATAAACTGACTTACGGTCCTCTTCATTTTCTCAATGAAGCTGGTCTCTCTTGTGGTGGGAGTCCTAAAATGAAAACAGACATTCATTTCGTAAGAGCAAAGACAGACGAGAGAAAGAAGTATCGCACAAACTGGGAATAGTAAAACTTTTCTTTTACTCTTATTTTTATCTTTAAGTTTAAAAAGCATAAGTCTCACAGAGAACAACAGAAAGCAATTAATGCAAGAGCAAGATCAAAACAACTACAGACACATGGCAATAATAGAGTGTGGGCCAGAGCAAAGGGCTGCACCAGGATACAGAGAACATCAAAGGTCAGCAGCCGAGTCCTGTGACCTAAATCTAGGAACAACACATTATGGTCGTTCAATTGGTCCCAGAAGGAAGAGGGGTTTAGGAAACGGCAGAAACACTGTCTTTTTGTAAAAATGGACAATGCAAAGGTGGAACTTGGAGCTTGGACTTTTGAAGCAGTCAGTTCCCAACATTCCTTCCAGCTTTAACAGGATCTGTCGACACAGTTATCAACTCAGCAGCTTCACGGAGCCAGACTTCTGTGCATCTTCAAGAGGCGGAGGTCACTACAGGTCAGGTCACACGCTCCGCTGACTTGAAAATATACAGGAAGTAAAAATGGATGTATACATAACATGGGTTTGAGCATTAAAGACATTTTTGCTCGTAAACAAAGCTCATCATAAAGCCTGATTGAAAAATAAACATGTTCCAAAACAATGTCCGTAGATTTTGTCCAACTTCTGCCTCTCTACACAGTTAGCTGGACTACACTAAAGAAGTAAAAGACAGGGATTTAATTGCTTTGAAACCGATAAAGTAGTAGCAGCAGCAAACCTTTACTGACCTTTCGGGAGCATCTGGCAGTGGGAACACACAGCCCATGGCATGCAGCCCTGTTGAGCAAACTGCCTCTAGCACCAGAGCTAACACCAGTCACGCTCAGTGACAGCTAATGACAGTTAACAATACGCCGCGATGGAAACATAAGTGAGTCCACAGGTCCCAGGCTTTCCACCTCCAGTCCCAAAAGCATCAGCGTAGAGTAAAGCCTCTTCCTGCGCCGCTGTGATTGCAGCACACGGAGCCCTCGGCACCACAGCCGACCAGATCGGGTTGTGTCTGGCAGTAGTGAGGGACACAATGGTGGGAAACTGACTTTCCCATAAAATGCGGGCGAGCAGCAGCCCCACACTTCACACACACTGAAACACTCAGGAGTTGAAAATGCCTTTCTCTTCAACCCGCCCCTTTTCCCCCTCTGCTCTGGAAGGTGTTAAGATCCAAAAAGTGTCCAAGATCCATTGTTAAAAAAAAAATGGAGCAAGGTTTTGGAACAACTCTTGTGTGCCACACTGAACGAGGAAAAAGCGGTGAATGGCAGTTGTTTTCTGATGTCCCCTGCCCCCATCGCGGTGGAGGAGAGAGGGGAATGTCATTGCTATGGCAACCTCATTTATCATAAAAGGATTCCAATTGTGACACTGTGCTACTTCCAGGCAGCTCAGCTTGAAATCGCAGACTCGAGTAAGATGGAAAAAAAAAAAATAAGTGCAGACAGAAGAATAAAAAAGTAACTTCAGGGGAAGAAAAGACTGCTTGTCTTTTGCTTCAACTTTCCACCTTTGCAGCGGATTCACAAAAGACTTGGCTTTCTCTTTAACTCTCCAGGGAAGTTTCAACATGAGTTCAGAGCCAAAAAACTAAAAAAGAACAGGAAAGACACAGAGACTACGCCCCCTAGCAGTTAGATAATAACTTAAAAAGGGGAGGAGAGTCCAACATGGCACTGATGCTATTCTATACTCTCTGGCCCAACCCACTCCACACGTACTTTTGTAGGAGTGGACAGCCTTCCATGAAAGACAGAACTACAGGACAATCTTTCGAGTGCCCACAAATAAAGAAAAACTACAACAATCCACTGAAAAGGGGTGGGGAGACAGGAGTATACAGGGTCAAAGGCAGACTAAAAAAACGTGAGCCAATGATTTAGGAGCAACTGTGTGATAGAGAAGGGAAAACAAAGGTCGCATCTAGTCGAACATTGACAAGAAAGCCCTCTTGCACACTGGCATTGTACCGATGGCTGATACTCGGAATTTCAAGAACACATGCAAAAGGAGCAGGACAAAAACAAACTTTCCATCACACTACTCGTCTAAGAACATTCCAGGCTTAATAATACATAACCACATGTGAACGGCTTGATCAGACTCTACAATAGAGTAAAATGTGAACAAATCCAATCTTTATCAGTAAATTTACGTCATAAAATACCATTTATTATAGTGTAATTATAACGATTGAAGAGCTATTAGAAAGTACTTAACGGTATTGTGCAACGGGTAACGGAAGTTTATTTCCTGAGAGAGTGGAGTACTCACGTTGTCTCAAGGCTTCTGAATTCGGGAATAGGTTCAGGCTTCTTGCGGGACATAAACCAGTAGATGACTGAGCAGAGCACCACAGAAATGAGGATATAGTCCAAGCTGCTGAACAGTGGTTCACTGGTCACTGGTATAGTCTGGTCACCGTCAGCTGCCTGGTCCGCCATGATGATGCTCTGTATAAAATTGAAAATAATATCAAATTCATTGCAATATTATTTACTTGACTTTTCAAGTGGGAATGTAAAATGCCTGCTTAATGACAACCATTACAATAAGTAACAAAGACTCTCTACTAGTCTCTAGTTTTAATTACCACCACCATGGAGGTAGATTTTGCCAGTAGTAGTGAGTTTGTTCACACCATTACTCACATTGTTACGCAGTTCTTGAATGACATTTTTAGTAAAACTTGGAAAAAGGGATAGGAATCAAGGACGCGAAACTGCACTTCTTGACAAAGGTCTACACTACGAGTGGTTTTCTAGGTTGAAATAATTGAACACAAAGAGTCTGTGACAAATTTGCAACCGTGAATACAATTACAAAGTGTGCTTCACTTAGTACAGGCTGAGAATTGTGAAAATAACAAATATTCTACTATTTTACCACAATCACACTATGATTAATCTAAGAAATTTAAATTCAAACTTGGTGGATTAGTCTATGCTGTTGTGTAGTTGTTGTCCCAGGTATTGTGTGATGTGAGGGGGTAGCCAGGCCAACCATGCTCCCACAAGAACACTTAAGAGCCATTTACTGCTATGACAAACATTTAATTAATCATAAATACAGTCACATAAGGAACAGTGTTTAATAACATTAGAAAAGATTAAACTAAACCTTTGACACACTAATCTAATCTACAATCTATCGAATCTATAGAAGGCTCTGGAGTGCCTTTTACCTGGTCTTTCAGTGAGACAAAGCGCTGAGTAAGGCGCCTGTAGGGGGTTGAATCAGCCTTACACACAGTTCAGAACAGTTCATTACAGTTCATTTGACCACATGCATTGCTAGGAGTCATGCATGACCTCAACATTTATAAACAAAAACTCTTCTTGTTTGTACCAGATTGAATAAGGCATGGCACCAGGCAGGTTATGCATGCACCATTGGCAATGCAATTCCACTGGGGCTGCCATACTGCATCATGATGAGCGACAAAAGGCGATCTCCCGTTGGTCTAGTGATGTTTATAATGTTAGGTTGTGTAAGGTTGTGTTGGCTAACCCCTTTGATGAGCATAAGGTTCTAATGGTCCAAGTGAGTGAGCGCTACCAGCTCCCCGACACAGCCATGCAGTCCATAATCCTTTAAAACTAGCAGGAGCTGTGGTTAAAGGACTGGCAAATGATAAATACAGTCGTTTAGTAAATAGTGTGCGTGTCTTTACCTGCAGCTCTCCTCCCCCGAGTCCGACACGACGACTCTGGAGTCAATGCGGAAGAGGAAACTTTACGCCATGAAGGACGATACCATTCCTGCTCCTGTGAGGGGTGGGTGGACCGTACCACTATGGGACATGTTTGGGGTGGACGAAACTATGCATTATGTAGCAAATTCAAGCGCGTCTGTTTTCTCAAAATGTCCCTAAACGCTTTCATGTAACACACCTGAAGCTATGTCCGTGTATTTGGAGTTGGCATTGTCATTTGAACAGTTATACATGTATTAGTCTATGGGTATTACCTAATGTCAAGCACGTGCAACCTGTTATAACAGTAGATTTTTGGGTGCAGCAGTGTAGCAGGGAAAGGGTCATGGTTATGTAATCCTCACTGAACAGACTGTCTGAACCTTATCCACGCTGTTCTGTCCTCTTAAAAATGAGGTTAAATTAGTTTATTTTACTAGTGCCGAGGACACGTCAAGGAACATCCCTTTTCTGCTGTTTGCTGAGAAAACACTGCTAAAACTGTTACTTTATATTGCACTAGTTATACACACACTGTATATGTTATGCAATTAATATGACGTAAGGGAAACATATCTATTACAGTGATTTATTGAGCCAGAAGGGTGTGGGTTCGAGCCCACCTCAAGACTTTCTCCACCGACTCCCACTGATGTCTGCTGTCGTTGTGTCCTTGGCAAGACACTTAACCTCTGGGAACACCTGATGCCACAGTGGGGCGGCTGCGGCTGTAAAGTCCCAAACTGCTGTTGTGTCCTTAGGCAAGACACTTCACCCCCATTGCCTAGAATGAGTCTGGTGTGTGTGTGTGAATGGTTGGTGGTGGTCGGAGGGGCCGATGGCACATACTGGTTGCCTCGCTTCTGTCAGTGTGCCCCGGGGCAGCTGTGGCTAGAGTAGTAGTTTACCACCACCGTGTAAGGCGTGAATGAATAATGACATGTAAAAAGGTCTTTGAGTGTCCAAATAAGCGCTAGATAAAACCAATGCATTTTTGTATTATTTATTGTTTTATGTTCAAGCAACAAGTTACGACAGCAAAGACAATTTTATGAAAAAAGTAGTCACAGTAGTAGAAAAAAGTAGTCACAGTCGAGTGCCTTTCTTTGCTTTTTTTCAATGAATGATGGAGAGTTGAGACATTTACATTACATATTGTATAGGGACGGAGGGACTAGACCGTAGATAAGAAAGGCCACTCACAAAGGCCTTGATGTTGAAATGCTCTTTCAATGACTCTTTGCCTTTTGATTTCTGCTCTTCATCTTCTGTCGAACTACAGCGACAGTGGTTAGGAAGTTCCCCAAAAACAAAAGGTGGAAACAAAGACCACACAACAAGACCTGGAATCACAAAGCATATTGAGACATTAAAAAAAACAAAAAAACAAAAACAGAATTGAAAGTATCAACAGGGGCCAAAACTCTCCTGAAATGAACCCAGGGATAAGAGCAAATACAAGCCAATAGCGAGCCCACTGACCTGTCCTTCTGTACAATCTGGGAGCTGAGCCATGTTGAAGAGGGAAATACTATTGAAGAGTTGCCAGAACTGAAACAAAATAGACAAAAGCAAGATTGCATTTGAAATAGTTATTTTAATAGTTGTTCTGAGTAATTGCTCTTACAATGACATAATGACATTGCATTTCTTATCATGATTCATTAATGATTTGTTCCAACGTGACTAAGATCATCTAAAGCCACACAAAGTGCAAATGGACTCACATGACCAAAAAACAGGAAGGGTAAAAGAAACGTCAGTCCTTTCCACATCCAGGACTGAAACCCCTCTAAAGCAAAACACAGATACTCTATATGCATTACCGCGGATATTATGACTAATATAATCTCGTACACACAGATTCTGTTCATCAGATACAAGACATTCTCTGTCCGCAGCTTGTCCTTACCCACAGTTAAATCCATGTTGTGTCTTTCTCCCAGGGCCCTCAGGCGGTACAGGCATCCACTCTGATAATAGCACTGCAGACACTGGACAAAGCCTGAGGCAGAAGAGAAACACTCAGAGTCTTAATTAAAGTTGAATTGTAAATTAGTTTCTCAGAGCTTACTTTGATAAAAGCAGTAAGCAAGGAACTGGTTCCTAAATAGCTTGTAGAGATTGCCATCTGGCCTTTGGGGGAGAAAGAAGAAAATCAAATGGGCTGATGAAGCATGAATTAATATTAAAGTAACGGTAGTAACAGTAACAGCACAGGCATCTTATACCATGTTAGCATGACTCCGGACAGAAACGCTGATATGTAGTGATGGAAAACCCACCAGCCTTTAATTCTGTGAAAACACAAATATTTAACTATTTGAGTATTTATTTTAAAAAGACTGAATAGAGCAGGCAACTTTCAAAAATGCGTTTCTTTCCAAGTTCTACATGGAACAGCTCTGCCTCATCTGTTTGAAAACGAAGACTACGGTGGTTTCAGGGCTCACAGAAGAATCCGACTCTGTCTGAGATGAAGATCTAGAACTGTCTATGGATCCAAATGTGGAGGAGTCTCTTTTCCAAATGACTGCAGTAACATGTATCATTGTTGTTTTGAGTTTTTTCTCTCTCTCTGTATAATAAAGACAATTTTAAAATGATTGGTGCAACATTTATCTTACCTTGAACCATTGGTGATGAGGATGCTTTCCCTGATAGTTAATGTGCAATAATACCAAACCAACAAGAAGTTCAGGATTGCATCAATAAATCTGGAGCCAGAGAGAGAACATTAGGGTAATGTGATGTCTATTGAATTCAGAATACAATATTTACTCTAATGCATTACTTGTAGCTAACACAGAAATAGCAAATGAAGGAGAGCATCAGCAGTAGGACTGTGAGGTACAGCTTGAACCTCTCGTACTCATCTTTATAGGCAAATCTGAAATCAAAGTGTTGAACTCCGTATGAGCAAAACAATGTGCCATATTTGTAAAAGCAGCATTATATAAATGGATCCTGGATCAGGACATGTTGCAGCGTGACGGTCAGTGCCACTTACTTTGACTGTTTGCTGAAGAGGGTAGTATTGACACTCCCAAGAACCAGACTGAGATAAAGGCTGTAAAAATGTCCCATTATAACATGCTGTTAGATTCACGTTATGGGTACAGGCCCACAAACAACTCCACTCACCCATTTTTCTTTGGAAGGTAAGCCTCCATTTCAAAGTAAACATTTTGTCGTGTTTTAATCTTGTCTTTTATTTCCTCCATTGTGCGTGTGTCTTCTTCTGATAATCCCTCGCTACATCTAATCACACAATCACACTTTTAAGCATGTTGACCACATCTGGCCATTGGAGAAACAAATAAAAACTCAAAGATAACCTTCTCATTTGGTGAGACAGATCATCCAGACTTTTTCGGTGATGGGATATTGTGGAGGAACAAATACTTTGCAGTTTTGAGATTTCTTCCAACTTTTGAAGATACAATTTGTGTGTTTCCTGAGCACAAAAATACATGCAAATAAATATGTCATTTGCTAAATCAAATAAAAGCGTCATTTGCAAAGTCCTACAGATTCATAGACACAACAGACTATGTATGTTTCTCACCTGAAGGTGCAGGAATTCTTCTTCTAAACTTGTCCATTCTTCCAACACATTTGACAGGTGCTGAGACATTTTATTTTATAAAGAAATGTGTCTTATCACAAAGCAGACATACACTTGATCTCACAGACACCTGCAGCTGTATCAGCAGTATGCAGTGTGAAGGTGTGTGAATTTCACCACTTTATTGAACTTGAACTTTGACTGAGGTCTTAGAGGACTTTGCTCTGCTCCAGACAATCCCCGGTTTTTCTATATTATTATCTGAAACCCTCAACAATGTTATACTTTACTTTGTTTTTACCCAAATAGTATGGTTTAACACTGATTGCTTGTTGCCCCCTTTCCTTTGGTTCACCTTCAGTCAGCGTCAGAATATAGCGACATCTTGTGGACAACAGGGAAAGGGTGTTTCAGAACGGAAACCGTTTGAATCCAGTCCATGAGTCCTTTTTCCAATCATTTTTCTTAATCATAAATATTAAAGTTGTAATTGAAAGAGAATTACTGGTTGAGCTGTCTGCCGTGTTGCACTTTTCTATCTACGTCAGTAGTTTAACACTGTTTAGGCAGCCTCGTAAATGTCCAAAACACTTTAAAAATGTGCTTGGAAATTAAAGATATAGCATCACAGGAACGTAAATAGTAATTATTGGGTTAGTGTTGTTGTTTTGTTTTTATTATAAAATTGTGTACGTACGTAAGCGGATGTTTATGAATGGCACGGTCACGCATGCGCACTCGATCCCGGCTGTGCTAGCAGCTGACACAGCTGCTGTCAGACACTGCTTTGTATATGTTTGACTGTTACCGATTCTTCTCTTCTTTCCTGCAGCGATCAATGAGACACGACAGACAACATTCACTCTAAAGTAAGCCTCTAGTTCACTCTCATAGTAAATCGTAGAAGTATCGTCAGGGCTCAGCAGAAGCCCCTGAAGATCCATAGACTCACACTACCAGTCTATACGTAGCTTGACACTTTAAATTGATTTGATCATTTCTATTGCTTTTGACGACAACAATATAAAACAACAGCACTGTCTCTGCTATTGTAGACATGCATTCAAATGTATAAACTCAAGCCTCTGTGATCCATCCTATTCTGTCTGTCCACTCCTGCAGCAGTAATACAAATAAGACATTGTTTATGAGGAAATAAACTATATACTGTAACCTGACTTATCATTTCCTCATACTTCTCCCTCCTTTTAATCAGTGTGTGCATTATTTTCATTTTCTTTCCATTTTTTGATTTTAGGGGAAATGTGCGCTGCTGTCTACGTCCTGTCCACTGTCACTGGTTATGTGCTGACCTCTGCACTGCTGCTGAAATGCCCCAACCTCTTGCACCGGAGAAAACGAGAGCCTTTCCTCAGCCGGCACATCTCCCATCGAGGAGGTTTGTTCTGGAATTAAAGTACTGATGTTACCAATATTATACTCTTGTACAATTATTCCTTCTTTTATCGCAGGAGCAGGGGAGAATCTTGAAAACACCATGGAAGCTTTTAAGCAGTAAGCACGTCTGAATTTCTCCTTTTAGTATGAGGGCCTCTTTTGTTGACTTGTCCAAGGGCTGACAACCCAGATTGTAAAACTGTTTTGGCTGGATTCAGGCCACAGCTGAAGTTGGCTGAATGAGAAAACTAACATCTCACCAGCTTTGTGCCCATTTTGTGACACAATCAAAAAAAAAAGTCAGTCAGTATACACAGGTAAAGTCAACGGCTGAACTCCAGAGGTTCTGAGCTTTACATTAAGACAAACATGTATATATTGACTGAGCTGAAGATGGCTGCGTGACACTGTAAACTCTATCTGCTCAAAGACATGTTGGGCAAAACAATATTTGTTCTTAAACTCCTGCTCTGTCTGTCTCTTGTCTCTTGTGGTTGCAACATGTGCTTGTTCCGATGACTAGTCGTAGATGTCATCTGATCTCCGTAATGTGTGGGATGTTTCATAACTGTTATTATTGTGCAGTATTTGTGGTTTTCCATTGATTTCCATTGTCCTCAGGGAATAGATAGATAGATAGATTGATACTTTATTGATCCCCGTTGGAGAAATTCAGGTGTCCAGTAGCAGTAAAAAATAAAATTGATCATTCTAAAAAGCTAACAATAGTAATAATCAGCAACAGCCCTTCAGGTCACAGCAGCAGAGGTGGAGTAGCCTCTGGGTGGAGCAGGACGGGTCACAGCAGCAGAGGTGGAGTAGCCTCTGGGTGGAGCAGGACGGGTCACAGCAGCAGAGGTGGAGTAGCCTCTGGGTGGAGCAGGACGGGTCACAGCAGCAGAGGTGGAGTAGCCTCTGGGTGGAGCAGGACGGGTCACAGCAGCAGAGGTGGAGCAGCCTCTGGGTGGAGCAGGACGGGTCACAGCAGCAGAGGTGGAGCAGCCTCTGGGTGGAGCAGGACGGGTCACAAGGTGGAGTAGCCGCTTGGTTTGGACCATTTTCTCTGCTCTAGTCCAAAGTAAAATGCTGAATTGTTCATTAGCGTTTTTCAAAAAGTTTGCCTTCCTCCAATGGATTTTCATCTGATCCACTTGGTTCGGACCATGAATCCTCTCTGCTCTGGTCTGGACCAGTGTAAAACCATGAACACTGAACTGCAGCAACATCTTAGGTAGAAAAAAGCAAGAAAAATATAATGTATAAAGCACAAAACAACTGATTCAGAGCGACTCAGGACCTGCTGCCGTTTTCCAGCGCGTTCAGAAGTAAAAAAATAAAAAATCCACTGGAAACCAAATAATCATCATCAAGAGATAATAATTGACTTTTACTTTGTCCTTGCTACAAAATGAGTTGATTTTTTTGAGGTTGATATTTTTGTGCAGTGCTGTGGATGTGGGCACGGACATGCTGGAGCTCGACTGTCACCTGACTAAAGACCAGGAGGTGGTGGTGTCCCATGATGCCAACCTTCAGAGGGCCACTGGGATCAACGCCTACATCTGTGACATGGCCTACAAAGTTAGTGTTCACAATCATGTCTCTTTCTAAAGTTCATGTTGTTATGTTTTTTGTGTTTTTATACTTGTTCACACTAAAGGATGAGTGTGACAAAAGGCCAAATATTAGATTGTAATAATCTGAAGATATGTTATGTTTTTCATGAATTCAAATACCTCCTTTGTCTATTGTAAGATAAGAATTCCTTTATTCGTCCCACAGTGGGGAAATTTCGATGTTGCGTCGCACATATAGGACAGTAATAAGAGCACACAGGGAGCACACACGATATATACAAATAAGTAGTAGCTATGTTTCTTAGCTAACATAACTAGCTGTAGATGCTGAAAATGCTTCAGTCAAAATATATATATGTAGTAGTGCAGTTATATACTGTACAGTTAAATAGTGCAGGATAAAAAGTATATAAGTAAAGTGACATGAGGTAAAGTGACATTGTTCTGTGACATTCTGAAGGAGCAGTATTGCACATTGCACATGGTTTAAGAATGTACTTAATTACAGATGAATGAAATTTACAGGCTCAGCAGTTCTTATTGTACAGTCTGACAGCAGCAGGAAAGAAACACCTACGGAACTTCTCCTTCACACAGCGAGGGTGAATAAGTCTGTCACTGAAGCTGCTCTCCAGAGCAGAGAGAGTGTCCTGCAGGGGGTGACAGTCATGGTCCAGCATAGATGTTAGTTTGCTCAGGACCCTCCTGTCCCCCACCTGCTGCACTGTGTCCAGGGAACAGCCCAGGACTGAGCTGGACTTCCTGATGACCTTGTCCAGCTTCTTCCTGTCCCTCTCTGTGATGCTGCTGTTCCAGCAGACCACACCGTACAAGAGGCTGATGCCACCACAGAGTCATAGAAGGTCTTCAGGAGTGGCCCCTGCACTGCAAAAGACCTGAGCCTCCTCAGCAGGTAGAGGCGGCTCTGGCCCTTCTTGAAGAGGGCGTCTGTGTTATGAGTCCAGTCCAGTTTGTGGTTCAGATGAACACCCAGGTACTTGTACTCTCTCAATGTTCTTTCCCTGGATGTTCACTGGGGCTGGAGCGGCAGAGGGGCGTCTACGGAAGTCCACCACCATCTCCTTAGTCTTCCCCGCGTTGATGAGGAGGTGGTTCCGCTAAGTTGCTAAAAGATAACTGTTTTATACATTAGACAAGTTTCCCACAGCGGCTCTGTTTATTTTATGTAACGGACGTGATGATTTGACGGAATGAGCTTTGCGAAAGTTTGCTACTTATTTTCAGATGTCCACATTTGATTAAGAGATTATTTTTTAACACAAAGTAGAAACAACGTCATTCAGAGGTCATTTCAATTCTTATATTTTTATTTTTATTTTTGATAAATGATTCGTTTTTAAATGAAATTATTTCCTGATCTTGTGGGAGTTCATCTGCCGCTTTTTCAGACTGAGGACATTTTATTTTCTGTGTAACTGGCGTCACAGTAGAAGGATCAAATCAGAAGCTGCTCTGGTTGTTTGAAATGTCGCAAAAAATGTATTTGTCAATCTTTCCTTTTTATCCACACTTTGATATGTCTGTGTTTGAAATGTGTTTTTTCCTATCTATGACATTAATTTTAGTTTTTGAGTTATGACCTTTTAAAGTTCAGATATTGTCATTGATACTTTGCTGTGATCACAAATATATGATCCTATGGTGTGTTTGTTTGCACTGAGAGGTCAATTATTCAAACTCAGGGAAATCTATTCATTTTACTTAAAAAAAATCACACATAAAAATTGACTTTTATGAGGTTTTAACCTTGTTTCACTACAAGTTTTTAATATCCACTGAGTTTTGCATGTTTGAGTAATCAAGTATTGTCTTGCATTCAACGCCTCAGGACATAACAGTGCTTTGTTTTAGTTTTTATATTTTCCCTACCAATTCTAGCTTTGACACAAGGTCTAACATGGGTTCAAGAATCCATTCATTCATTCAATACTTTATTTCGGACACAAGAATAAAAGGTCCATATTAAAAGACATATAACAACAAGAAAAACAAAAAGACACATTAAAAAAAAAAAAAAAAACAAGTACAAGTTAAAGGATAAGTCATTTCCTGTATAGGCTCTGAAGCCTATACAGGAAATGAGAATATTACATCCACCTGATAAGTGATATTAAATGTGATGTATATTGATATTATAAAGAAAACATGGTGTTTCTGTTTCAAATTAATGAAACCGGGGAGTTACCAAATCACCGCTACAGCTTGGACAGAAAAATCAATGAACCGGTTTCTATTATTCATCAATATTGGGATGTAGTTATTAAAATGTACAATAATGTGTGCTATAGTAGAATAACAAATACAAAACTCTTTTTCATTACGTTTTTTATTTATTTTGTGTTATGCAATTCAATTTAGATTATTACAATTTGAATGTTATGATTGTACAAAGAAAGTAAATGAATCTGAATTATAGTCTATGAATAAAGTTAAAATGTCTCTCAACAACTCTGTCCTGTTGTTCAGAGCAATGAAATACACTTATGACGCAAATAATTGTTTTATCACCTCCATTTGTTTTTTGCAGGAGCTGCCGTCATACGTGAGGAACCTGGAAGTTACATTTCAAAGAGGTGAGTGAAGAAGAGAAGATAATCCTTTTTTTGTAAAAAGTAGGAACAAAGAGCACTCAGGTTGCACACACCCAACAGGGTCTATTATTTGACATAATAGATTAAAATAAATAAAATAAATGAAATGAATAAAATGAATATAATAAAATAAATAAATAAATACAATAAAAAAATAAAATAAATACAATAAAAAAAATACAAATACAATAAAGACATTAAATACAATAAAAAAACAATAATAATACAATAAAATGAATAAAATAAAATAAATAAAATAAAAAGTAATTATATAATAAATAGAATAAAAAAACTCTGGAGCTATTTTTGCACTTGGTTCAGAAGTATTTACAGATGTGTATATTTTACTTTAGCAGCGAAGGATATGAGCACAATAATTAGTATAAGCACAATTATTAGTAACAAAAGCAGTGAAGTGACAGTGAATTATCAGAAATATCAGATGAATAGATATGTAATAATGCAGTAAAAATAATACATTCTTGAATCTAGATAACTACAGGTAAAGTGACTAGGCTAGGCAAGTACAGCACAATTCATACACAAGCCAACTCAAAGTTCTGAACAAAACAAGGCAGAAACAGTCACATAAAAATCATAAATAATCACAGTACATTAAAATCCCTCAGTTATATGCACATTACATTGTCACAGAAAAGGCCTGTCTCACATATTCAAGAAGATTGTAGTGTATAGACTCAGCAGTTCTCGTTGTACAGTCTGACAGCAGCAGGGAGGAAGGACCTGCGAAACCTCTCCTTCACACAGCGAGGGTGGATAAGTCTGTCACTGAAGCTACTCTCCAGAGCAGCCAGAGTGTCCTGCAGAGGGCGACAGTCATGCTCCAAGAAAAAGAAAAATGTCCTCCCCTCCCATAGTTATGGAATTGCATAATGACTAATAATTATTTTTGTATTTCAGAGTGTTATTGTGCAGGCGGAGATGATCAAAGGATCCCTCGTCTGCAGGATGTTTTTGATGCTTTTCCCAATACTCCAGTTAACATTGACATCAAGACTAACAATGACACCCTCATTAAGAAGGTGATGGATTACACAAATGATTCACTGTTTATCAATAAAAATATATGAATAATGTTTTAAGAATTGTGCCCTATAGGTGTCTGACCTTGTAATGAGGTACGACAGAGAGGATCTAACCGTTTGGGGCAATGCCAGTAACAAAGTAACTAAGAAGTGTTACAAAGAGGTAAAAGCACATTTTAATGATATATTTTACATAATTTAAGGTTAAAAAGTAAAAAATTCTTCTGTTTTGTGCTTTTTCAGAACCCACGTATCCCAGTGTTGTTTAGTTTCCCCAGAGTATTGCAATTGTTGGGACTTTTCTACACAGGCCTTCTACCTTTTGTTCCACTCAAAGAACAGTTCCTAGAGATCCCCATGCCGTCCATCATCACAAAGTAGGTAACAGCAACAGTCAAATCTCTGTGTAAAACTTGATTCTGTAGATATGTCTGAAAAGTAGTCTTCAAACAGAAAAGATCCGGCATCGTGTCTTGATGTCACTTCTCAAGCATAACAAAAGCAGAGTCATAACAGTGGGTTTCAGAGGGGAACAATAGAGGTTCTTCATGAAGGTGTTTTCATACCGCCTTGGTATTCAATTCAACCACAAATGGTGTCGACGCAGAGCAAATGGTTTTAAAGGTCGGCAGGGTTTTTGGTCTTGTCTGGTCGAAAGAGGAGAGTTAAGAGGGCGTGACGAGAGGCTGTATAATAACACCACACGCATGGCTGGGTTTGTTCACTGCGGCATTAGCATCTTTTTACGATTGCGCTTATTTTAACACTGTCATTAGGCCTGTCTTATTTGTGTTCTCTTGAATTGGTTTAAAAATGGTTTCATAATTACACATTTAATGGCCCAGGTCTGTGCAAAAAAGAGGTATTTAGCTAGCTATGACACTAGTTATTATTTTATTAAAAGTTTCTCAGGATAATTTCAAGCTAGAGTCACCACACCAACATTTTTAGAATATAGCTATTGAGCAGATGAGGCGTCTCCTCATTAATAGATTTTTTAAATATCTGTGAAACTTACCAAAACATCAAAAAACATTGTAAATATATTTTGGGTACAACTGTCTCTGTGTATGAAAACAGCCTATAATTCCAAAGTGTCCCAAGATTTTAATGATATTGTCTGTTTAGGATGAAGGATCCCAGTGGCTTAACTCGAAGTCAAAGATTTATTATCTGGTTAGCGGATACGTGAGTACACAAACTACTTTTTCACAATATTATGTCCTTGTTCTTAGTACGTTGTCTTTTGTTTCAGCTAACTAATGTTGCCTCTCTTGTAGCTTACTGATGAGAAAAGCCCTGTTTAAACATCTGACTGCAAGAGGAATACAGGTACTGGTCTGTATTATAGTATTGTTTTGACAATGAGGTGGTGTAATCTAGCCTGGTCGTACTCCGTGAGGGCGGGTCCCGGCTCAAAAGTGGCCAAAATGACATGCGCTGACATGCTTGCAATACCACCCCGGGCCAATGGGGGTGCACCCAGAATGAGAATTAGCCAAGGCTAACATATAGCATCTTCTTACCACTGGAAAATGTCTTTACAGGATGGACCAAAAGCTGGTTCTTGGCCCAAAGCTCCGTTCCACATGTGTGTCAATGCTGAGAGGAGTGAATTTTTTTGGACCACTCTAGTTTAGTCACTGTTTATTTTTGATGTCACTCGTTTAAATGAATGGGGCTCGTGCAGCTGACGCATGCGCTGATGCGTTTTTTCACATTTTCCAGGCCCCGCGGCCATTTTGAAACTGCCCATAGACCACGGAAGTTGTGGCGCATTAGTTAGAACGGCGGAGATAGGCGTGACTACGTCCGTTAATATTTACAGTCTATGGTCGTACCACACCATAGTACAAATTACATTTCGTACTAAGGTCTGGATTTGCTCCATTGAACTCCGTTCACAGGTGGGAGGGGTTAACTCCTTTTGCAGATTGAAACAAATGGATCTGAGTTTACCGTCACGTATGTAATGCGCCCGAGTGAGTTGTTAGCTTTTAGAAGTTAGCCTAGCTTTAGCCATCTCCTTTGTTGCTAACGGAGCCCGTGGGGAGTAGCGCCACAATCTTTGCCAGCAATGACTGTCAGGGATGAAGCAGACAGAGACGGATCGTGGTGCGCCAAACTCTGGAAGTTTATTTAAGTTTCTCTCAAGTTCTACTGGTTTACTCTGTTTCTTTCTCTCAGACAGAATAAAGGCAGTACACAGTTTATATAGTCATTGTCACGTCACACATCGAAAGACGTGTCACACAGAGACAGTCACATCATAGTCATAACATGGAGTCCTTGTAGAGTCCTGCACGTAGGCCATATTGCTATCTAATACTAACACCCTCCCCTTTGATCACATAATCACATGTGATCATTCAATTTGATCAATCAATAAAGTGGAAAAAGAGAAAAAAAAAAAAAAAATCAAAAAAAAAAACGTTAACAAATTATTAAAAATAAAGAAAATGTATGCATTAAACTCATAATCATCAAATCAATATCAGTGGATTTTATCCTCTATCCTGGGAAAAAACAAAACAAACAAAAATAAAGTAAATAAACAAACAAAAAACAAACAAACACTATTGGACACACAAGAACTCAGCAGATTCAGTCAAAACACAGACAAAAACGAGCTGAGTCTCAAATTAGAAGCTAATTTCACTTTTATTACTCTATACTTTCATTCTAATGCTGATTGTTTACACTTGACTTATTTCACTGTATTATTTTCACTTTTCAATCTTAGACTGTGTACTTTACTTTTACTATTCACTATAGTTTAAAACTATTCTAATCTATTTACAAATATGTTTGCATATTTGCTTCTATTGAGCCATATTCTTAAACATACATTTTAATCTAACAAATCTCTCTGTGGTTTTATACTCTCATTATCAGTTTGGGATGAATGTACATCTTTAATCAAATTGGAACTATCCTTACAAGAGCTAATCTATTTGAGCAGGTTTGGGGTTGGGGTCAGTTATTCTACAATGGTGTTTGTGCTGGAAACTTCTCAATATCTAAATATCTACTATTGTTTTTGTGCTATACACAAATACATCAAAATGCTTTTAAATGCTTTTGAATCTCTGTTGGTGCTAATCTATCTCATTGATCTAAGCTACTTTCATGAACTTTTTGTATTGTCAACATTCACAGATGTTTGAAAACAAGTGAATTTGGAAAGTATCTAATAAAACTGTACATAAAACTGTAATTAACTTTATCTACTTCTGAAGTAAATGTTTGTGAAATGGTCCCTTTTACCATTTGATATTAGCACTGGCTACGAATATTCTCTATTTTTGAAAGCATCTATGGTTGATGCATTTATCTATCTCTATTTTTACGCTATTTTTTAACTCCAAAGCTTGGCTGCAGCTTGAGCAAAGGCATATTCCTAATTTGTGACTTCTGTCACTTTTAATGTCTCTAAAATACTCTGATTCTAATATTATAGCTGATCTATCAAAAGGATAACTTTGTAGGGTACTATTTTAACTCTTACGTGGAAATATGTTTATGAACAACAAAGGAAGGACAATTCTACTTTTTTACTACTATTTAACATCTACTAAAACGCTACAATACTCATACTTTATCATTTTCAAAGTTTTTGTCTGTCAGATGTCTGAATACTTAACATGTATATTGCATTTGTTCACAGTTTCTGGTTGTAGCAATATCATCAGCAATAGACGATTTCATTGGCTGGTTCTTGTTCTGCAAATGGCTGTGTCCAATAGATCATCAGATGTCCAGAAGCTAGGGACAAACAAAAACAAAAGAAGGAATCATGAGTATCTCTCTCATTTAGCACTCATCAATGTATGATTTCAAAAATATAAACATCACTCCCCAGTTTTTTCTCTCAGATCCTCAGATCCTCAGGGTCCCCTGAGGGTGAGTCTCAGTCGTCATCAGGTCAGGTCATATTTCGAGAGATGTCATCTTGGACATCAGTAGGGTCCAAGCCATGGTTTTGGTCTCTCCAGATGCACATCAGGATCTCCAGATACAGTCTTTTCAGTTGAAGCACAGGATCAGGTCATTTGCGATGCACTTCTGGTCAATGGTGCAGTGTCACAGTTCCTGTACACAGCTTGTAATGCAGTAGTTACTCTCTATGGTTAAGTCACTTTGATTCTACTTTAACACAATTTCTATTCATGCTGTTGCTAATGTCCCTCAGACAAAAAGCAAGCGCAATGATTCAGTTTACTTCTCTAATTTGTGTTTTTATCAGATCTAATTCTAATCAATGTAATTACTTCACACAGTACAAAATCAACAAATCAAAAGTGTCAGGACAGACGTCAATTATGTCCATGACAATATAGAATTCAAATGAACATTTCTGGTCTCAAAAAATACTGATTCAAGTGATAGACAATTAAAAACATGTGTTTACATTGGAGTAAACTTTTAAAATGCTTTTTTCTCATGTTCTACTTTTTCATGTATCTATATGTAAATGTGAATGTGTGAGTGTATGAATGTATGTGTGTGTGTGTGTGTGTATGTAAATTTTGGGGTTGTCTCCAGACTCCTCGAACCACCTGCAGGTCTCAAAGGTCACACTGTGGTGATGTAAACCAACTGGACACACTTTCAACTGCCTCTAGGTCTCTACCTGACGCTCCACCATCACGTCTCCAGAAACCTCTCTTTCATGGCCCCGGTCTCTCTCCCACTTACTTCTGTAGTGGGGGGAGGGGCGTAGAGGTGGCATTGTTGCCCTTTGCTCTTAGCTCTGTGGCCTGTGGCTGGGTGGGCGTTGCGCTGTCCAGTGTCCAGCAGTGACCTCTCGTACAGTGTGGCAGAGTCTGAAAAACAATCCTTGAGACGGCCAATTTAAAAAAACAATAGATATCAGTATGCGAATGAGATTGTTTTTCTCCCTGAAGTCAAAACAATTTTGGAGCGCTCTGGGTTTTCCCAAGCGCTATGTAAATAAAAGATTACTTATTATCTTACTAATGATGACATTTTTAAGACCAGAAACTCTTAATATAAAAAAACAAGACTCAAATCTAAAAAAACCTTTTTAAACTTTAAAATATGTATTATATACTTTTGTACTGTGTGATTAATTATCTATGCATTTATCTCAGCATATATTTTACTAATTTAAAATAATTGCAGCATTTTTCAAATTAAGTCAGTATGAATTGGAGCACATTTTAGACCAGTCTCCTGTGCTGCGTGCATCTGCAGCAGCAAGGTCAGGTGCATAGTCAAAACAAAAACGTCACCGCTTGCAATGGGTGAATTGGGTAGTTTAACTTAATACTTTTACAGCCTAATTCCCTCTTTCTTTTTAGACGAAGTCTATAATCAATAATCACTTTTAACACAGATTCTAATTTAAATGTTTGAAAAACGGCTTTTGTAACTAAAATAAAAACATAAAAAAATTCTCACTAACAGCTATGAAATATATCAGAGATACAATAATGGACTCACAAAATAAGCAGCAGATTTAAAAAGAAAAGCAAAGCTTTTTGTACTAATCTTTGGGTTTCAAAAACATACTAATTCAAAACTTATTCACTAATGGTGTTTAAAAACGTTTAACTGTGTCATAACACAATGTTCAAATGGCAAATTTCGCAAATTTAACGGAATAACTACTATGAAAAGCCAAAATCCTAAAGCAGTAGCTTTGATTCAGAGCCAGAGCAGCGAAGGAGGGGGCCGTTTCCCTGACAACGGCAGCAAGATAGAGATGTGCACACACAGGCAAAAAGATACAGAAGAATAACTTTCAAGATTACTTTGTTAAGCGAATATAACTTATGTTGTTCTTTATACTTTTGTCATCCAAGTCTAGAAGTGATCACTTTCCACACTAGTAACAAAAGGCACTCTTGTCTTTAACGTTTACGCTTCTATTTTATTGAGGTAGCAAACTAATTTAAACTCAAAATCTCTTTCTAAAAAACAAAAAACAACTGTTGGATACAACCCTCTCATAGCTCAACTGTAGATAAAACTCGGCAAAAAATGTAAATAACTCACGAAAGCTCTCATAGCTCAACTTTAGATAAAACTCTGCATTCTCCGGTGAACTCTGTTCACTCCAAAAACAAAAACTCCCTTTTTCTGTATGTAATTTAAACCGTGATCACTGAAATATTGTTGCTTCTGTACTTTTGTCATTTATCAGCCTGAAATTCGTCAATTTCAAAGCTTTTGTAACAAAGGCCTCCTTAACACGTTTCCCTTTTTATTGCTTTTATTATTACACCATGGTTTCTCTCAAAGGGACTTTAACCCTGAAGCTTCTTCTCAAAGGGACTTTAACCCCGAGGCTTTTCTCAAAGGGACTTTAACCCCGAGACTTTCTCAAAGGGACTTTAACCCCGAAAACGTTTTCTCAAAGGGACTCGAACCCTGAAGCTTCTTCTCAAAGGGACTCTAACCCCGAGACTTCTTCTCAAATACAATTTAGAGAGTTTGACAGACCCCAAAAACAGAGCAAAATTTAGCTAATATCCAATTATGCAGACTTTACATATAAAAAGGTGTCTGCTTACCTTATTCTTGTCAAACCAGTTCCAAGGACTGTCCGAGAGGTCTGCCAACCTCTTTTCCGCGTCGGAATATTCAATTTAAAAAACAAAAGTGACAGAAGCGACAAGAAGCATCCAGGAACAGCTCTTCCAGCCTGCTGGAATCTCCGCTCCCAGACGCAGCATGCCGATCTCTCACGCAGAGGAAAAGAAACAGAGCAAACTCCCCCAAAACAATCCAGAGAATGGCACAAACCGAGCCGCGCATTCTCCACCAAATCTGTTAGGATTTAGCAGACAGAGACGGATCGTGGTGTGCCAAACTCTGGAAGTTTATTTAAGTTTCTCTCAAGTTCCACTGGTTTACTCTGTTTCTTTCTCTCAGACAGAATAAAGGCAGTACACAGTTTATATAGTCATTGTCACGTCACACATTGAAAGACATACGTGTCACAAAGAGACAGTCACATCATAGTCATAACATGGAGTCCTTGTAGAGTCCTTGTACAGTCCTGCACGTAGGCCATATTGCTATCTAATACTAACATGACTTTAGCTAAACATTCCTCTTGCTACGGATTCAATTTCTTGATATAACCAGACCAAAATACTTTACTATGGCATTCTTCGCCTTTACCAAACTACAACCAGCCCGTTCTGCTCAAAACCTCGACGTCATCCACATCTAACTACAACACCCGCCTCCAGTGCTCGCTGATTGGTCGGATGGAATTCAACCGATTGTAATCGAAAACACAGGGACCAGACCCAGACATTACATGCAGGAAATGATTATTGAGTGTAAGGATGGCTAAGGCCAGGGTAGGTGTAATCAGAATTTGACAGAATCTTGAGATGCTGTTTACAAGAGGACGCTGAGACAGTAAAACGATAGAGTTTGGTTTCGGACTTTCGTTTACATGAAGACGGTGTTTCAGGTGAAAACGCAAGTGTTGAGAGATAGCCTCCAGAGTGGAACAGAACAGATACGCTGCTCAAAAAGGTGTGAAGTCTCTGCTGCTATGACCTCACCACTTCTCTGCACGTACATTTGGACATGCGCAGTCGCCGAGAACAAACGTAAACAACAACGGCGGCGGATCAACTAATGCTACGTGTGCTTCGAGCGCTACACAGAAGAGAATTCAACTCCTTCGCCCAAACAAAACCATACAAAGCTGCAGTTTCCGTTTCCATTTTTGCTGCTTCTGTTAAATGCAGAATGATGCTGGTTCTTTCACGTCTTTGCGGAGGCCTGAGGAGGATGTTGTTGAGGAAGTGGTTATACTGCTGGGGGTCATGCTTCGTCGTAACATTCCACTGCCCCCTACTGGCCGGGCGCAAGAACTACATTGTTTTCAGTTGTCATGTAGACACTGTGCACTTCGAATAAGGAGCCTGGTCATTTTTGCTAATTGCTTTGCAGCGTCTCAGAATCCGAATTTTGCCATTGTAAGTAACAGGAAGTCCCAAACTAGAAAATTGCTTTGGCTCTAGTTGTGAAAGTAAACATAGAATAGTGCATGCATTGAAAGACAAATAAATCTACATTACATTTATTAAAATTACTGTTAAACTTTTAAACCAAATGAGCATTGTATGTGTTTTGTTTCTGGGAATAATGGGGTTGGTTTAGCCTCTGGGAAACCTGCTTTGAACTGTGTCGAGGTGAAAAACAAAAATAGGCTGCAGGTTCTGAGCACTAGTCTTTGTTTTGTGTCCGGTTTCAGGTGTACGTCTGGGTGCTGAATGATGAGGAGGACTTTCAGAGGGCATTTGACTTGGGAGCCACAGGAGTTATGACAGATTTTCCCACACGGCTTAAAGACTTCATGGACAAGAATGGCATTTCAAAGCCTGAATGACCTGCAGCCAGAAGCCACCACAAAGCCCCACACCACTGATTATCCTTTAAACTGGCTGAGCTACCAGATGCCAGACCCTTTCATCTCACTGCACCAACAGTATTGCTCCTGCAGTCGTACTATCGGCTGAGATTCTGTGCTAAACACGGCAGATGATGCTCGCTTGCACACGACCAGAATTATTTAGTTTGGTATTGTACTGATCCCTGGTTTCTTGTACATTTAGTCATGAAAATTGTGATCAAACATTATTTATAGGGCTGTAATTAAGGGATTATTTGACCGATTAATTGATTATTGGTACTTGTATAGATTGACAAAAGAGGTGATTTTTTTACACTTTGATTCAATTCAATTAAAAAAAGCAATCGTCTAGCCTTAAATCACAACAGCAGTCGATTGAAGACTTTACGAATGTTGTCGATTCCTCAACGACAGAGCAGAGAATAAAACAGTTTGAACACAGATATGCAGTAATAACAAACATGTCGGAGCCATTGATCCAAAGGGAGGGGGATGACCACTGTCAATAAATGTCTTTAAATGTCCTGGATCATCACTTCCACCTTATTTGGTTAAAACATACTTTGTAAATACCATTCTGCAGTCATGATTGAATTATCTGAGTCAAAAAAAACCCTTCTCAACAGGCTTAAGACTATTTAAGTTTTTCAGGGTTCAGGAAATTATTACTCAATTATTTAACTTGTTGTCAACTATTTAAATAATCAATTAGTTGGGATTAATCCACTGACTTTTTACAGCCCTAATTATGTGCAGTATCAATTGTATTCAGATGTTGTATTGTAATGCAGATGTATTGAATGTGTTTTTATATCATTCTATTCTGTAATTCATTGACCTTTTGTGGTCTTTTATTGATGCTGGTTTGTGACAAATCACATTGTTTTAAGTTTTTCAAAGTATGTTGTCAATACTTACAGATTGAAATGTGCTTAGGGCGACTGACTACTTTATTCAATGCTACAACGGCATGATTGTGTTTCTTCTGCTGATTAAAATGTTTGCTGACGTATTTTTCATTGACTTGTCCTCCTTACCGTGCGACCAACACTAGGGGGCGCTGCACGGTGGTCAATAGCCACACGTGTTCACGGAGTGGTGTGTTGTTTAGTTATTTCTCTTTTATGTAAAAACCTGCGTGAATCCCAGTGTTTTGTTGCGTGATGAAGAAGAGAGCAGACGCTGTCACTGGAGCCAAACGTGTGGCTTTACTTTTATTATCTACCGCTGCGACCACGTTAGCTTTGTTTATTGTGCTTTCTGGAGGATTCAGTGACATCCATTGGTTCCTTGTCTGTTTTTTTTACCCAATCAGCTCAATGTTGCTATGCCTGTCGAAATCGCTGATTGGCTCTTGAGTGTGTCATTTAACTGCTGGTCCCTGCCTCCTGCCAAAGATATTGCACTGTCAAGATGATTAATTTCAGAACAATCCTAAAACTATCAAGCTTTATAATCAAAACTATTTACAACAAACATACTCCTCAGCATCTGAATATGACAGTACAATAATCTGGTTGAACAGATGGTACAATACAAAATTTCAACGGTATTGAACATAACATTTGTACATCTGCCACAACACACATAGATCACAAACGACTAACGAGTGATTGTAGCTCGACTTGCTCCCGATAGTGGTTATGTGAACAGTCAATCGTTTATTATCAACGCAGTGAACCTGATGGCTTTAGTTTAATCCTCTGTGTGTTTTGACAAAGGCGGAAGTTTTGCGCTTCATTCTCTTGTCCCGGCTGGTGCCTCTCTGCGTCTCTGCTCTTCTAAACTCTGCTGGGCATCGCTGCGCGTCAAAACATTGCGTCTGAGCTGGACTTGTCAGGGCCACAGAAGAGCAGAGCAAACTATCCTTGGAAGGAATGAGAAAGGAGCTTTAAGATTGGCACTGCACAAGAGAAGCAGGAGGAGCGACGTCTTCTTGCTACGCGGTGATCTGTGTTTTCTTCCATCAAAGGTAACGATGATGATTTTCTTTTGGCGCATTGTTATATTCTGCCTAATGTTAAATCCTACTTAAACATCCAAACCAAGATGATGTCACAGCAGACAGTAGGTGCTTGTAGATTATGGAAACTTTTTATCATCAAAGAGTAACTTGGTGCATGTTGCCATGTTTATTACAGCGTAAACACATGTCGGAGGTTATTTCCTGAGTCTTTGTTGTTGGACCAGTGTAGTTGTGTTTCCTCGTGGATGTGGTGTACAGGCCACACAGTGCAGCACACTGCTCCTACAGCATCTTGTTTTTATTAGGACGTGTTCTGTTTGTGATTCTGCATGTATGCGCCATCGTCTCTTTGCGCACGGAGAGGATAACGCATACATCGGGCTGCACGTCAGCGCGTTATGCTTGTGGGCAACAATAACATCATGTGATGAAAAAGTCTGGGTGCATCACCTGCTCCTGCTGCAGATATACGGCGGTGTAAATGGTCTACGTGTCCAATAATGCATGTGTGAGTGTGTGCGGGTTAAGCGCTGCTGAGCTGAGGCATCCCCGCCATCTGTGCTCCGTGTGGTGGCAGAAGTTATGCCCCAGATAAAGTGCGCCACTGCCTGTGACCTGATTCATGCCAGTAACTACACTCCTCAGCGCCACTTGCCTTATCTTGGAGAGCACAGCAGAAATTAGACTGGTGAACACAGGTAAATACATTGTCATAAGTAATATTCTTGGGTATACTATATTTACAACACACAGTCATGATGCAGTCACACATTGTGCATTATCACCAGGGACTATTTTCAAAGTTCTTTAACCAACATGAAAACAATGTGTTTTCTTGTATTCAAATGAGGGCTCTTGTGTATATTTGACGTTATAAGTTCCAGCCTGTCCATTATTTTCATCTTTTTCCATTGCAGAGCGTGCTTGTAGTCAGGTATTGATCACTGCGGGTCAATACTGAGGCATGGGTCAGAGAGTTGGAGGCCTTGAAAAGTGATCTCGTCACTTGTAGACTTAAACACCACTCGTACAATAAGCAGCTTGTTGTAGGTGGTTGATAGACACTGTGATCTTTCAGTCTTTAGAAGGTACAGTATAGTCACATCGAAAAAATACAAAGGACAAATGAGGTGACAGTAAAGTGTACATAACCTTATTGACTGTATAACCAAACTCAAACAAACAATGTAGGCTAATATTGGTATTAGATTGTAAAATACAGTGTGTTGACATTGGATTTCTTAAGTAATAATAATAAAAAAGGCTTTTTGTCTTGTTATTGCCAAGTGAAATGACTCTATGCATCATTGGCTCCACCCTCTGAACGCATTGGTTGATTGTCTTAGTTTATAAATTTAGTTTCCGACGTTTCCATTTGCTTTTATCTATATTTGAAGCGCACATTTCACAGTTCACATATTACCCATTCTATTGCCGCCTGTTCTGTGCTTTCATCCATTTTTTATGCCGCCGCTTTTAGCAGTGAGACAAGACCTCATCAGGGAGATTTGATAGGGGGATACGTGCGGAGGAGTCTTGCCTGTTCACTCAATGATGTCATGCTGCCTCTCCGAGCTAACGGCCTTGATGTTGGAAACCGAGGACCAATCCGACGGCCGAAGTGGCGTCCTTGTTTGGTCTATAGCCCTATCTCATCTGGTATCTCCTCCAACCTTCTACATTCTCCCACTTTTGTCCAGACAAAAAGGCAGCATGAGTTCATAACAAAGGGATATTGTTGACATACAAGGGGCCTTTTGGTGTGTGAGAAAGGTGGTACGTATAGTCTGGGTTTCCCTAGTGCTCCCCAAGGTTTCTCACGTTTTCCCACTGGGTTTTTTAAGAGTTTTTCCTTGTCGATGCAGGAGGGTCTTGTTGGACAGTTAGTGTCCAACAGAAAGGATTGGTGATGATCAGGACACTTTAGCATTCTACGACATGTATGGACATTTTCTTCTGTGTGTGCTTTATATTCTTCATGTGTTTTAACTGTTGATTCTCTGACCTGTGTTGGTGATTTCAATGGTTTTGTTAAGTCCTCTGAGATGACTTCTGTTGTGACCTAGGGCTATACAAGAATAAATTGTATTGTATTGTATTGTATTTTGTGTTGAGCCCCAGAAATGACCAGATGTTTTGGTGACCTCGGGGAGCTCAAATCAGGATTGATGAAAAGACAGGGAGACGAGTGGAAAAAACACGAAGGAATTGGGAGTCGAGAAGACAAAGACAGGAAGCGAGGAAGGAGTTGTACATTTGTTAACAAGTACGTAGGCCTTGATGTCCTAACACATTATAAGGAAGGACTTGTTTGGATGTCTGCTCTGCCGCTTCTCAGGCAGATCACTCATGTCATTTGTTAGTCTGTCAGAGAGGATTTTTCACTTGCAAAGCTTCCAAATTGGCATTTTGCTGTCAGCACAGATCCTCTTGCTTCAAACAATGACAGCTGAGCAATTACTTCTGTTACTTCTGCTATGATTTACTGAAGATGATGAAGAAGTGTAGTAGTAGTAGTAGTAGTAGTAGTGGGTAGTTCTGAAATCCAGCATTAGATTTACCTTTCCACAATAGTTTTTTTTTAACCTTACGCAGAATCAAGCAAGCTGAGAAGAGGTTTTATGCCTCAAGATAATTCTATAATGACTGCAGAATGAAGTGAAAATGTGTTGAAAATTTTCACTGAGCTTTCTTGATATATACAACTAATTGATTATCAAAATAATATCATGAAGTGAACAAAATACATATATTTATATATACTATAGGCATCACATGTAGGTGGCAAACAACCAAGAACATGAAGCAGAGCTCAGACAAAACAGCAGTTAACATAATAAATCAAAAGAATACAAATCCCTGACAGATAATTGTTTACTACAGGCCGAGACTGTGAGCGACACATACAGTCACTGTGGTTAATACATCCACTCCCTCTGTTAGTATCCATCAAAGCTCTGTGTGAGGGAGCACTCCAGTGTCTGCCCCCGCTTCAGAAGTAATGGACAGGTCGTCTGCATGAATCACATCTACATCTGAAAAGGTTCAGCTGTCCCTCTCACAAAGAAACAAATGTAGCTGCCAACGCCGAGATGACATACATTTTAATGCCATTAACTGTATTGGGGGCTTTTGATATTCTTTGACCATTTCCGAATCTAATTAGAATAATTAGCAAGCGTTGTTTATCTGTGGTGAGCAGCTGAGGCCATCGAGGTAATTCAATCAAAGAATCATTGATTTGTTGTTTTTGTGATGACACAATACAGCAGTGTGATCAGACATACAGACTTTTCTCAGAGGATTACTGCTGCAGACAATGGCAAACAAAGAACGTCCTGACTCCGACTAGATATTCAGGTTTAAAGACAAATGATTCAAATAGTGGCTCATATTTACATACTTGTTTAGTGACAGGCTTCTTAAAGCTGCCCGGAGGCCTTTGTTTAACCAGGTTAAAATCTCATTAGATTAAGGCCAGGAGGTAACAGGCTCATGCAACCTCCACTCAGCGAGGCCACAGTGTTGCAAACTTACTTGGATTTCCACAGAAAGTAAGTGCATAAACAGTACTCAGACACAAAATCTACTCATGGTTTTGAATTATCATTATTATTATGAAATTACTTTGAAACAAATGACCAACACAAGTTCATAGAGTACATTATACTCTTATTTAGAAGTTTGTACGCTGAGGTTTTGCACCGACACTCCTTCAACCTCTGACTACAGTACACTTCAATAAGCACCTCTATTATTACCTACAGTAGCAGAGATCAATCCAGGCTCTGCAAGATGTGCCACTTTAACAGCTGAGCCCCAGCCGCCCAAACTCCATATAGACTGTGCGTCATTCAATTCAATTTCAATTTATTTCTGTGTAGCCCTTGGAGGACTTTACAAAGTTGTTGATTTGCCAACAACAGGAAATGCAAACACATAAGAGCCATTGGTCCATAGGCAGCGGGATGAGCAATGTCCCTAAATGTCCCGGATCATCACTGTCCTTAGACCCTCCTGCTTCGCAGAGGAACCACACAGAAACAACTTTACATTGCCATATTCAAAACTAATTAATCAAGACATTTATTTGACTATTACTGCAGGATTGGATCTTTCATTGAGGACAGGTTCGCTGTCTTGTGTTTCCTCTGGAGGAGCCCTCTGCACTGGGAGCAGTGGTCGGTGTGGCTGCGGGGGTCGGACTCTTGGGCCTGGTGGGGGCCTGGGGCCTCGGTTTCATGTCTCCTCTGGGTCCTGTGTCGTCCCCTGTGGCTACGGGCGGCTCTCTGCTCCTGGTGCAGACGGCTCCTTGGATGACGCTTTTTCAGCTGGTTGCATCTGCCAAGTCTCTCATCTTGGTTTTATTGTTTTACTGGTGTGTGTGTGTGTGTGTGTGTGTGTGTGAGTGTTCATGAGCGCGTGTGTGTGTTTGTCTGTGGTTTGGGGTGGGTCTGTTGGGTGGTCTGGGGGAGGGTTCTTGGGTCGGCGGGATTGTTTTTAACCAAACTGTAAAGCACTTTGTGTTGCATCTTTTGTATGAAAAGCGTTTTATAAATAAAATTTGATTGATTGATTAAAACAAGATTTGCCAAAGGAACTGCAGTCGATTTTTCTTGTCTCTTTTAGTCCAATTCACTTGTGCAGCACATTTTAGGGACTGTTTCCAAAGTACACAAAGATACGTTAAAGGTTCATTAGGCAACTTTTTATGTGGAAAAACATGTTATGTTTTTGTGTTTGGCCTTGTAGTGACCAGGTACAGGTAAAAGTGCACTTTATTTATCCCCATAGGGCAATTCATCCTCAGCATTTGACCAGTGGGGCAGTCCTCGGCTCAAAAAGGTTTATGAGCACGTGCACTGCATTCTCACTCCTTGCCTGTGGGGGTGTACCCGGAAAGAGAATTATCCGATGCTTTTGTGTGCTGCCGCCTTTCCTCTCAAAAACGGCTTTACAGTCTGGTCCAAAAGTCGGCTCTTGGTTCCAGATGTGTGTCATTTCTA